TGACGTGTAATCAGGAGAATTGGCGGGAGGGGTGTTTAGATAATTACGATGAGGAGGACTTTTCCTACGTCGATGGTCCGGGATTGACGAAGATTCGCGGGAAGCGAGAGATGGAGCGATATCTGAAGAATCAGTTTGATTTCTCCAGGCAGTTTTTGACGGTGGAGGACGAGGTGTGCTCGGTGGACGCCGCCGGCGATGATAATTATGTCGCGACGTGGCGGCTCGATATGCTTCTGGGGACGGGAGCGCTGCGAGACATTCAGGGGATCAGTGTTTTGAAATTTGCTCCGGGTGAGTCGAACAAGATTCGGTACCATAGAGACTATCTCCCGGACGGGCCCATCTGGGAGCGAGCTCCGATAGTGGGCCCTCTGGTGAAGCTACAGCGTCAGACGTACACGGCGTGCATGCAATCGGACGTCGGGTGCGCCAAGGTTTTAGGGGGCGTCGAGTAGTTTGCGATCGTGCGTCTCGTTGTTCTCGTATTAGAGTTTTAGAGGTGAAGTGGATATCTATTCGTGCCAGCGGCGAGCCAAACACGCCATGTCTAGGATGACGACGTCACTCGAAGAATCGAGACGAAGCACACCATCGACGCCATCGATGGATATGAGTCGACCGGTCTCTCCCCGATTGGCGCCTTCCGCGGCGGTGACGACGATGACGCGCGACTTGTTCTCCGGCTTGACGATTTCGAGCTCGTCCTCCGTAACAGTCTCCTCCTGGGCCGTTTTCGGCACCGTTTCCAACACTTCCACACCGTCTCGCACTCGAACCGTACCGATCTTAACCTGGAACGTCGAGCCTCCCGGACCGACGGACGTGACGTAACCTTGAGCGCCGCTCGAGAGCCGCACGACGACACCTGGGATGAAGCGACCCATATAATCCTCAGGCCATGCAGCGACTGGCGCCGCCGGAACAGGAACAGGATCCTCAACGCGCGGGGCATCATATCCACCTGGTGTGATACCGTATCCGCCGGGCGTGGCGCCGGTGTAGTCCGCACCAGGCGTGACGCCGTAACCAGCGCCCGGAGTCGGACCAGCGAGCGCAGCCGAGTCGCCAAAGCCGCCGGGCGTGTACCCGGTCGCCGATCCCCAACCTGTACCGGCGGTCGAAGTTGGTTGCCACTCTGATGGCATGTGTGCCGGCGTTTGCTGAGGGTTCCAGGCCGCTTCGCGCGCGGGCGTCATGGCACCGTGCATGGGCGTCATGCCGCCAGCGCGCGCAGGAGTCTGTGGGTAGTGCGCGGGAGTTCGAGCCCACGGCGCGTCGAAGCCGCTTGGCGGCGGGCGGGACAAGAACGAATCTCGACTCGCTGCTACTTGCGGAACATCCAAGTGCTCTCGGTTGACCGTAATCGTGCGCGCCTGAGCTTGCAATTCCATGCGCACGGTGGAGTCCGTGACATCGATGATGCGGCCGACGTAGCCCTTGTACACACCTGAGCGAATCTTCTTCGTCTGCCCAATGAGTGGATCGCGACCGCGGCCACGACCGCCGGCGAACGCACGCATGGGCATGGCGCGAGGAGCTTGGTTACCCTGCGCCATGAGATCGCCACGTAACCCAGAGGTGAAGGAGCTCGCAAGGAGCGCGTGTGCCGGAGACTTCGGAGGCAAGCCGCTAGCGCTCATCATTTGGGCGGCGACACCGCCCCCGATCTGACTACCCTTGTTGCCACCGTGCGCAACGCAGTTCCGAGAACGGATGCACACAATACCACCGTGCTCTTGGACGTGCCGCGCTCGAATCCAAAGCGTACCCTTGTAAATGTGCTCCACCGTCCCCGTGGCGTCCTTGTACTTGCCGTCTATGATGCGAACCATAGATCCCTGATCGATCGTGTCCATGTGCGCGTCCTGGGCAGAGATGTTCCGGCTGAACAGTTTCTTTTTCAGATCGTGCAGCTTGACCGGCTTGATTTCAGGACGATCGGACGTGCCAGCGTTGGTCATCACAAACGCCACATCCTTCTCAACTCGGACAATACAGCCAACTTCGTTACCGTCAAGCATAGCCAGGTCGTGCAGAGCGAACTCTCCTATGGTGTCAATACGTTGCGTCGCTTCTTCACTGTCGGCGAGATCGTGCATGAAAACTTGGAACTCCTCGTTGCTCACAGTCGAGAAGATGTGCGCCACGTCACGGTCCACCTTGACCACCATGCCAACGACGCCTTCGTGCTTTCCGTGCAGCACGCGCACGGTCGATCCCGTCTTGAAGTGCTTTCGTAGCTGCTCCGGCTTGAAAGTCAATAGTTCGTTCAATTCCTTGTGAGATGGCATGACGACGACCCGTCCGTCGGGATCGACTCGCTCGACGACGCCTTCGAGGTTGCGCAAATCGCCCTCGACGATGAGCACTTGATCTCCCGTCATGAACTTCAAGTCCGTCTTGCGAGCGCCCACAGCCTTGGATAAGGCAGCTAACGCACCGTTCGCGGCGCCACCTTCTGTGTCGACATCTTCACCGACGGCGAATCGCTGCAACTCATCCAAAGTTGGCGTCTCAGATAGCTTCACCGTGGCGAGAGAGCACGTCTTCAGGTGGTAGCCATCCTTTATCTTCGTAGTTCCGCAAAGAATGTCGACGACATCATGGAATGCGCGATCAAGTCGACCCTTTTCCAAGGGCAGATTAAATCGTTTCGCCTCGGACTCCGAGAATGGACGAGCCGGTGGTCGAACTTGTGACTTCGGCTTGCCCTTGACGCCAGCTTCCTTATCCGCGAGGTGCTGATAATCGATCCGCGGGACCAACTTCACCGTGCACTGGTTATCGGCGTAGTTTACGTCAATGACTTGTGCCAAATCACCCTTGTAAACGCCTGTGCGCATGCGCACCCAGGAGTCTACCTTGACCACGGCGACTTCCTTCTGCACCACGCTGATGGAGTCCACCATCTCCTTAATCGGCACCAAACGAATGGGCTTGCTGTGGTAAACATGTCTAAGTCCTTGCAGCGCCTTTCGCACGTGGTCCTCGCGATGGGCCTCGACGTAAATGTATCCCTTGAGGTGATCCTGGCAGACGGCGGAAAAGATCTGCATGGGGGGTTTCCCTTGCTTTGCGAGATTGATCATCTTCTGCATCAGACACACCGTAGTCTCGCGCTCCTTCCCAAGCTTCACGGTCACCATCCAAAGCTTCGGATCGCGAACTGTCGGATGAAGCGCTTGCTGATCGACGCTGTCGTCGATCTGCCCCCTCCCAGCGTCCGCGTACCTCTGCTGGGCGTAGCGCTCCTTGATCATCCGTTCAATCTCCTCCTCGTTATCCATGCGCTCGAACGCGCCTTGGTTCTCCATCCGCGCGTGCATTCTCGTGTCCATGTCTCGCCTCAGCGCCTCGCGCTCCTCATCGTCCAACTGCTCGTCCTCTTCGCCCTCATCTTCCTCGTCTTCCTCCGAGTCGTCCGCCTCCGCTTCGTCGTCGATGAAACCGCGCACGCCCCTCTTCTTTTTCTTCTTTTTCGCCCCACCGTCGTCCTCATCATCATCGTCCTCATCTGCGACGTCGTCGACGTATCGGTTCCGTTTCGCCCTCGCCTTGCGTTCGCCCACGATCTCGTCTCCGCCGTTGCCTCTCAATTCCTCGAGCTCATTTTCCAAATCCTCATCCTCATCCTCCGAGCCGTCGTCTTCGCCGTCTTCGCCATCGTCATTATCCGCGGCGTCGTCTTCGCCGTCGTCACCCTCGGGTTCGTCACGACGCTCATCGGTCTCTCGTCCGTCGTCGTCACCCGAATCGCTGTCGTCTTCGCCGTCCTCGGCCCGTTCGTCGGCTAAACGGATCGCCTTGGCGGTATTCTTCGTGAACGCGCCGTGCGCGACGCGCGTCATGACCCCCTGTGCGATCGGCGCGTTTCGGCGACGCGACGGGAGACGCGCGCGCGTGTGTGGAGCGAGGACCCGGGTGGATCTTGCCTTTTGTTTCAAGAGTGTGTTCAGGGTTTGGAGTACGTCGCGCGCGCGAATCGAAGCGATACTAGAGCGAGCTCAGAGCTCAGCGCTCGCCGAGTCCACGGCGCGATTGCGATGCGATGTTTTTGATTTTCCGGAGGACGTGGTTTCGCCCTCGAACCAGTTCAGTCGGTTTCCGGAGACGTCCATGTGCTCGAGCGTACGCAAGGAGATGACAGCCCAGTCGACTCGGCCGCTGAGTCTATTGTCGCTCAGGTCGAGGTAGCGCAATCGGCGCGCGGCAGCGAGCACGGATGGCAGGGATCCAGTGAAGACATTCGCCTTGACGCTCAGACGTTCGAGGTGTTTCACGGTCCAGCTCTTGGGAAGGTCACCACTTAGCAAGTTGTGGGCGACGTCCACGATGCGTAAATTTTCAAGCTCGACCAGTCCCTCGGGTAAAGAGCCGCTCAGGCGGTTATGACTCACGTCGAAGGTTTCTAAACGCATCGCGGATCGTTCGTTCTCGCCCTGGTAAATGTTACGAGGCAGCTCACCCTCGAAGTCGTTCCAAGACGTGTTGAAATATTTGAGGGTCCGACGCCGCAGGACGTCAAAGGGTGGCTTGCCGCCAAACTTATTCGCCGCCAAGTCTAAGTGTTCTAGGTGCGCAAGATGCGCGAATGTCTGCGGTATCGTTCCATTTAATTCGTTATTCCCGACGTCGTAGACGCGAAGCGTCCCAGGAAACGGAGCCTCGGGAAGTTTGCCCCGGAGAGAATTGTGCGATACGTCAAAAAGCACCAATGGTAATTGCGATAAGAGCTCGGGAACGGGACCACTAAGGGAGTTTTCGCTCATGTCAAAGAATTTTATCTTCGAACTCTCTTCGAACTGCGGCACATTGCCTCGAAACCGGTTTCTCGACGCGGAGAAGACCTCTAACGCTGTTAACGTGGCAACGTTCGGAACGGTCCCCGTGAGCGCGTTACTGGACGCGTTGAACATTCGCAAACTCGCGAGATTACCAAACTCCTTTTCAGGTAACGTCCCGGATAAGGCGTTTCCGCTCAAATCTACGTGAGTCAGCGCCGAACCTTTGCGAAACAGTCCCGGTGGAATGTCCGAATAGAGCGAGTTCGCGCGCACCAAAAGGTAGCGTAAGTCCTTCAGCTCGCCGAGCATCGCGCTCAACCGACCCTCGAGACGATTGTACGACAGATCTAATCCTTGAAGCATTTTCAGCTCGTCTATGGCTTGCGGCATGTCGCCCTCCAACCCGTTATCTCGCAAATTTATGAAGGTTACGCCCAAATCCTTCTCCTGACATGTGACGCCATACCACTCGCAGTACGAACGGTCACTAGAATCCCATCCATCGCGCTTGCACCATCGCGCACCGTTCGTCCTTCTATAAATATCTAGGAGTGCCTGCTGCTCTTGATGCCTGATCGCGTCCAGGCTCGCGGACCCCCCGAATGCGTCCTCGGGCCTGACCCGTATCGGAACGTCACGTTCCCATCCCCAAAGCCCTCGAGCCTTGGCGTCCGTGCTCGCGCCTCCCGCGCCTCCTGGAACGTCCGAGACACCAGACCAACCGAGCCAATTCGCCGAGCTCGCCCGTCCAGCAATCGCTTCCTCCTCCGCCGCGCGCGACACCGCGTCTCGCACGAACGCCGTCGCCTCCTTTTTACCCCGCGTCTCCGGATTAGACATCGCCGCCGCGCTCGTCTGACACGCCTCGTGTAACGCCTGCCTAAGATATCGCAGCGCGTCCTCTCGTTTCATCCCTCTCGACCCGTCGCTCACGACTCGGTACGCCTCGCACGCGTCGCTCGCCGTCGCCGCCGCCCCCCCTTGCGCCGCGCACGCGCGCTCCAGCGCCACCGCCGCGCCACCGCGCGCGCTCGCCGCCGTCTCTTCCTCGAATCCTTTCGCGTACGCGTCGCACGGTCGCTCCAGCGCCGCCTTGACGCCGCGAGAGAGCGGCCTGGCGATGTCAACCGCTGGCGCGGACGCCCCCCGCGCGCTCGCTCGGACGCCGCGCACGCGCGCGTGGACGACCGCGAGGAAGAAAAGGACGCGCACCACCGTTCGCGCGCATCGCCGCGCGCGCGCGCGCATCGCCGCGCGCGCGACGCCCGGTGTGCCGTCGGTCGTTGCCGCGGTCGCGCGTCGGCCATCACGCGCGACCGCTTAAATACGTACATGGGCTCGTTGGCGAGTCATGACCCCACGACCTATGTAATATACGAAAACCCCTACGAAAACGACCAAGCGAACGACGTGCGACAGAGCTCTTCTGGGGCTTCACGCGCGACGCGAGCCGCCTCTTCTAGACGCACACCGAGCGAACATGCCGTTCAAGAGTACGTCGTGTCGACGGATGATGATATTTGTCGCGTCGCGCGCGCGTTGAGAGAGCGAGATCGGCGTCGCGCGCGAAGCGAGAGAGGAGTCAACTGACGAGAATCGCGCGTTTTGCACACCGCCGCAGGAAACATCGAAGTTGGCCGCGTCGCGCTCGTCAACCTCAAGGCGGACAAGCGCTACGGCAAGCTCGTGGTGATCGTAGACATCGTTGACCAGAACAGAGTGCGTGTTTGGGATCGAATGAGAAGTCGCGCGCGTCGTACGAGCGGAAGATCGATCATCGCCGTGACCCTAGAGTGCAGACCCTAAAGAGATGATGTTTCGCGAACAAGAGACTGACCGGGCGATTTCGTTCGACGAATAGGTGCTTGTCGCCGCTCCGGGCGTGAAGCGTGATGTGATCTCCCTCAAGCGCGTTGCTATCACCGACATGAAGGTTGAATGCGAACGCGCGTGCGACGAAGCTGCGCTCAACGCGGCGTGGAAGGCCGGCGAGGTCGAGAGCAAGTGGGCGGCGAGCGCGTGGGGCAAGAAGATCGCGCGCCAAAACGCTCGCGCGTCTCTCACGGACTTCGAGCGCTTCAAGGTTGCGCTCGCGCGCACGAAGCGCAGCGCCCTCATCAAGAAGGCGCTTGCGGCGTAAGGGGGTTCCTGAGTGCCACGTCCTAGCTCTTAGAATCACTTCGATGCCGAGGGTGGCGTAGACACCTCGTGTTATGCTACTAAGTCGTCGATTACACTACTAAGAATCTCTATCGCCGCGCGCACCGTCTGCATCGCCACGTCCGTGACGTCGACCTCCACGCCCTCGTCCACCTCGACCACGGCCTCCCGGCTGCGCGACTCGAAATATTCTAATACGCGTGCTTAACTCATCCTCGCACGTGAGGCACGCCAATTTGCTATCACCGTTAAAGTACTCGAGATGTAAACACTTTGCCTCGCACACCGCGCACTCAGCCTCGTCGCTCACGCTCGCTCGTCGTACTTCACGAGGCAGTCGTACTGAGACGTCGCACTTGGAGCAGTGCAACTTATCTTGCGCACTCGCCGACGGATCAAGCATAAGCACGCCGCCGGCGGTCGATAACACGCACTCCGGGCAAGGCGAAACCGCCACCGCATCCGCCACCGGGTGTTCCAGTGGATGTGGCGATCCTCTTAGCAATGCTTTCACTCGTGGTGCATTCTCCTTGTACGGCGGGAAATTGAAACAAAACGGGCAAAGAGGGAAACTGCGAGTCGTTCCCTTGGCTGTGAATATCAATAATTCGAAGCCGCATATCAGGCAGGTACGACCGTTGTGTTGTTTGAACGTACCACCGATCGGTAATTCGAAAACAACCTCCTCTGTGGGACAATATAATCTCTGAATTCGTCCATTCGCACCGACAAGTTTCAGATATCTCGAGCATCTGCCACACTTCGAGTACGGTCTCGACTCCGTCGTCGTGTGCGAAAACGATGCCTCGAATAGAGCATCCATGGCTGCTATATTCGCCGTGAAGTAATTGAACTTATAGAACATTTGGGCGAGAATGTGATCGACGACGCCTTCGTAGGGAGCTTCACCTTTCGCGACGAGATCGAGTTGCTTCTCGACGTGTCGACGCACAGTTGGCAATACGAGCTCGGCGTCGATGGCTTGGTAGCCCTGCACGAGGGTAATTCCGAGCTGTGTTGGTACAACTCTGCGTCCTCTCTCGATGTCTACGTATTTGCGCGTTTGAATGTTGTTGATGTGCGTCGGAATGGACGCATCCGTGCCGATGCCGTTCTTCTCCATCATCCCGATGAGCTCGCTCTCTGTGAGGTAACCCGGAGGCGCCGTGGTGTCGCTCCTCAGATACGCTGACTTTATTGGTATCTTAGTCCCCGGGACGACATTCGCGGGCAGCGGCGTGTCTTCAATCATCCTGTGTGGCATGATCTCCGTCCATCCTTGCGCGGTCACCTCCTTGGCGTGCAGAGTGAACTCCTCGCCTCCGGCGCGAAGCACAGCCGTTTGCGTCTCGTACTCGCAATCGGGCGATACGGTCGCTATGAAGTGTCGGGAGATGAAATCGTAAAGGCGCCACGCCTCGCCGCCGCCCACGTCGCCTTCGGTCGACGCCCGCATGGGCGTGATTGGAGGGTGGTCACCCGCGTCCACGCCGCGTCTAGGTGGTGTCATCAACCCCTCCTCCACTAGACCACGCACGAACTCGCCCCACGTGGGGTGAGACGTTTGAATTCGAAGCGTCTCCTTCAAGGCGAAGCCAGATGGATACGCCGTGCTCTCTGTGCGAGGATATGAGATGTGACCAGCCATGTAAAGACGCTCAGCTACCTGCATGGCTCGATGCGCCCCCATGCCGAGTCCCGCCGAAGCCGCCTTGAGCATCTCCACCGTGTTCAGACCACTCGGCCTAGGGCGCTTTTCCGCCTTGGATTCCACAGATACGACGTCAAACGTTTTCGCGTCGTTGACGAGTTGAAGAAACGCGCGAGCGGCCTCTTCGTCGAAGAGTCTTGAGCGCGCCCATTTTGGGGCTACTTCCTCGCCGCGATCGGCGTCTGCGAACAAAGCCTCGAGCACCCAGTACGGCTCGGGAACGTGCCGAACAATCTCCAGGTGTCGCTGCACGCAAAACCCGAGAGTGGGCGTCTGACACGGTCCGTACGACACCACGCGCGCATCTAAGCGATCGTACTTGTTCAAGAAGTACTGCGTCTGAAATCGAGTAAACGCCACGCCCATCTTCAAATCGAGCTCTTGTCTCGCGTCAACGGCAAGCGCCTCGTTCCTGTTCGCCCTACCCAGTGATTTCATCGCATTTTCCACACTATCCTTCGTCACCGCGCTGAATTTGGCGCGCAAAATCTCTCGTTCACCCCCACCACTTGTCCGCATCGAAGGCGCGCACGCCTCGATGACCTCAAAACAAATGTTCTCCCCCTCCCGGTCGCAATCGAGCCACAAAATCAACGTCATAGCTCCCTTCGCCTCGCTCTCGAGATGTCTCACCATCTTTCCATCCGCCCGCTTCACCGTCGGCGCCGCGAATAACTCTCCCGGATCGCAAGATTCCCAAGACTGAAACCTCTCTGGAAAGTCGACGCTCGCGACGTGTCCCTTGACGCTCGTCACTCGCCACGCGCGGGATCGCATCGTCCCCAACCCCCTACCCGTGAACTCATGGACGTCGCCCGCGAACCCTTTCCTGGTCGTGAACGCCCCTCCCGGCGCTAAGAACCCCGCGATGAGCGCGGCGAGCGACGGTTTCTCCGCGACGCACAAAACGACCGAGCTCATAACCGTCTTCGCGCTCGAATTCGTTGAATCACGCGTTCTCGCGCCCTCGTCTCGCGCCACGATCGGTGCGTCCGTGGTACGACGACGCACGCGCCCGTCACCGCATCCCGATCGCGTCCTCGACGCGCGCTCGCTCTCGCGCGAAGAGAGCGAACGTGACGACGCGCGCGAGGGCGTGAAACGCACAAACTCGCGAAGCGCCGTCAGACACCACCGCGGACGACGGAACCACAGCCGGTGAGGATAATTTAGGTCGCTCGCACGTGTGATGGGTTTACGGATACCGGTGGTGCAAAATGTAACTAACATCTCGCGATTGTGAATACATCGTTTCTATTCTTTGGTCGGTCTTGTGAGGAGAAAAGAGAATGACGCGTTCTCGTTGAAGATGGACGGCAACGCGTAGCCTGTGAGCTGAATATTAATCGAGCTCGCGTCGATGTTTTCATCGATACTGAACTGGACACTGCTGTCATCGTCGAGAAGGAACGAATTACTCAAGTGTGCGCTGTTGTCCTCTTTCATACGAACTCGCATCTCGCTCAAAACGTCCGCGCTGACTGATTCCGTACCGTACTTGTCGTCCCAGTACATGGTACTGATTCGATAAAGCTGTTGAATGCTCAACTGTGGGCACAGCTCCAGGGTGATTTCATTCAGGGTCTTCTGGGGCTTCTGATGGATCACGAGCAGCTCGACCGCTTGTCGAATGAAACGCAGTTCGTTCAAAGCGTGCTCACCAACAGCTTCATTCTGTGGCTTGCGTGCCCATCCATCTAGTAGCGAAAGTCCCATCTTAATGTACTCGCCATTGGAGAAAGAGCAGCACTCACGGCGAAGGAGGAGCGCGTTGAACATCTGCACATTGATGAAGCAGAAAATTTGATCGAAGAATTTTCGAGTGAGCTGGGCTGGAACGTTGTTCAGGGCCATAGCCTTGACGGAAGTTTCAAGCACATCCAAGATTCTCATCCAACCGTCGCCTAACATAGCCGAGGAAGAGCGTGATAGCGTAGCACCACCTGTAGATACCTTCGTGCTTGCCACGCGATTTCTCGGAGCCTGGATACACGTCGCAAACTGTGGATTGATATCCTTCTTAGCTCGGTCACGAAGCGTGCCGTAAATCCGCTCCACAAGCGCCGCAAGCTGTTGCTTAAACAGAAAAGCCGGATACTTCGCATCGATGTGCGCCACACCATTGACTCCAGGAGATGATGTTGGCGTTGACGCCCTTGCGAACCTTGAGTTGATTCGATCAAAGAAACTACCGCTCTTTCTGCGCATTTCCTTACTACCCGACGAGTGCGTCTTCAACGTTCGGTGAAGCAGTTGGAGCAGCGTGAAAGAGTTACTGAGCCAGTATGCAAGGGCGGTGTGATCTTCTCCGGCTCGATCAATATTCAAAGATATGGCGTCCATGATTTTGTCAAAAAGAGTCGTTCGATCGAGCTCAAACGTTCCCCATTTGATCAAGCATCTAAAAATTACGCAAGCGAGAACCGGAGTGCCGTTCTCGGTGAAGCCAGCGTCAGCCGCGTTCTTTTCTATGAATCCTAGCAGGATGGAGTACTCGAGGTGCGACCGGACTTGTTCCAGCTTGGCCTTGCGCGCATCGAGCTCAGCCTGTTCGCGCTCGAGCGACGCCACGACGTCATCGCTATGCGGTGTGTCTGGCGACCTAGGGGTATCCAACGACTCCATAGGGGACATTGGGCTAAGCACACCAGAGAAGCGCGCGCTCCTCCTATCCATACTGGGTGATGTGAACGACGACTTCAAGTTTTCGTTCTCCTTTTCCATATCTCTGATGTCGTCACGCATTTGATTCACCATCTTGTCGAGATCGTCTCTGGCGTGAGTCAGAGCTCTCACTTCCTCTTCTAGCTTTGAGCTGAGTTGCATCTTTTCGTTTATTTTCACGACCAGCTCTTGAAGGGCAACCAGTGATGGCTCATTCGAAACATCGTCGCTGGATACGCCCAGCTTGGCGTTCAACTCTGCGAAAAGTGACGCTGCCTTTTCTTTCCACTGACGCAACTCCTGAATTTCCACACGATTTGCCGTTTGTAGTTCTTGCATCGATCTCTTGAGCTCGATAATTTCGTCGTCCTTCATAAGTGTGGTGCCCTCAATCTTCGCATTCTTCGCGTTCGCGTCTGCTAGTTCCTTCTCAAGTTCATCAACTCGTCCGCGCAGGGCGCTCTCGACGTTGGCATGTCTCGCGTTGTCGTCCTGGCGGGCACGTTGCTCCATGACAGTGCGCATCTTTTCGGACTCGAGCTGACGTTCGAGTGCCGATTTCGCCTCAATCAGAGCCCCGGTCTCTCGCGCCTTACTCCTCAACTGATTGAACTCGATACGAGCGAACTTTCCTCGCCATCTGGATTGGATGCAAGTGGCAGCCTTAGTGGCCCGCGCTTCGGTATCACGTGTTTCTTGCAGAACTTGTCGCGCACGAGCGCCTCTGACGATCGCCTGAATTTTCAGCGCCGCTTCCTTCGTACGATTGAATTGAATTCTCGCTCGAATGGCTCGGAATGCCGTTTGGATCCTCAACGCGGCCATCTCCTCTCTGATATCCCGGACTTTCTTGCGGGCAATCATGCCACGTGTCACCGCAGCAATTTTGATGGACGCTTCTCGCAACTCACGAAATTGCTTCCGTTTCACAAACGTTCTCGCTCTACTTTGAATGGCAATCGCCGCTCCGTTTAGTTTGTTCAGCCTGAGCACATCCAAAATGGCCATCTGCCCAGCTCTGAGAAATACCTGCGTCTTCCCGATTTGCCATCCCTCGACGTTCGCCGCCTGCAAGATCCCCTCCAGCGCTTCACGCTCTTTACCTTCGAAAAATAGCGATGCAGCGCTCGGAGCGAGCAAGCCAAACCTCGCCAGAAACACGTCAATGGACTTTCTCGAAGGATAACCAGCGCAGCTGATACGAATTGCCTCCAAAACACCACCGCAACGTAACTGTTGAAGAACGCTTGCGCTGTCGAAGCGCGCAGGCTCCGAAGCAGCATTCGGCTTGATACACCTGATATAATGAGGTTCAGTGGCGTTAAGCTTTTGCATGAGCTCACCAAGCTGCTTTTTAAAGCGAGCACCAACTGAGCTGAACTTCGTTGAGGATTTACTGCGTCCAGTCTGGTCCACACAGTCGCGTGAAGTAGCGAACATCTTTACTAGTTCTTCATGAGAGCTGCTCGCGATCATCTCCTCCTGTTCCTGAATGATGAAATCCTTATTCTTATCGAGGAAGCTTTCAGACTCATACGTCACTTCGCCGGCATAATGCGACAGCGTGAAAGCCGTCTGCGTCAACTTTGGCTTGCTGAAACGCGTGTCGTTCTTAAGACTAGAGTACAACTTGTGCACGAAGTGTTCATCGGTACTAGAACCGAGCATGCACGATTCGTCCAAGAGAGATATGATTCCGTTTGCCCTTCGCTCGATGACGTCAAGGATGTCTTGGTTGTCGATGAACTCGATGTACGACCAATCGATGCCTTCCTTTTCATACTCTGCTTGTTCCAACTTGAAGATGTGCTGGTTGAAGTGTTGTTGCAGCTTTTCGTTCGCAAAATTGATGCAAAATTGCTCGAAAGAATTGACCGCAAAACTCTCGAAACCATAGATGTCGAGCACGCCGATGTAGCGCTCACTGCGCTCATCCTGGCCTATGCACGCGTTTATTCGCTCCACGAGAGCGTCAAACAATTTTGAATATAAACTCTTCGCGAGGGCATCGCGAGAGTGCACCGCGGCGGCTGCCGATAGAGGTTTATGAATGACCTCGTCGGCGAGAACAAGTCTTCTCGTACGAAGGGAGCGTTCGAGCTTTTCAGCATCAAGTCTCAGCACTGCAGCACAGTCCAACAGAGCACTCTTCGCATCTTCTCCCGCTAAATCGCACCCTTCATCCGTGGATTCGGCGCTGTCGACGAAATGTACGTTACCCAAGTGTAGAATCCCGGCGATGACGCTCATGATGCTCTTTTGCTCATCCTTAGTGATGCCGATGACGTCCATGGCTTCGATTGTGCGTCTGAACTCCTCTGCGTCATCCACGCCTTTGAGCTCAAAGCACGAGCTTTGGTTCGTGTAGTGAAATCCTTTAGCGTCTTTCAAACGCAAATCTTCTCGAAAACTCGCCTCAGCGCCGGCACAGAGCTGATAAAACACGTGAAAGTTCCGCTCGAGATCGCTTGTCTTCACCACGCGACTTCTCTCAAGAAGATACGTTCGTATCGCGGCGCCACTGATGTGGCGATTTGCATCGAACTGCATCTCCACATACTTTCCAAAACGACTACTGTTGTCATTTCGCACCGTCTTCGCGTTTCCGAAAGCCTCTAACAATGGGTTGCTCTCCAAAATTTTCTTCTGCGTCGTTTCACTCGTCGCGTCTCTCTCATCCGGTCCAGCACCTTCACACATCGATCTGTACGCGATGTATCGCATCAATAACTTCGCCGTTTCAGTCTTACCCGCCCCAGACTCTCCGCTCACCAGAACGCTCTGCGACGTGCCCTCGGTCCGCATCGCCTCGTACGCCGCATCCGCCGTGGCAAACACGTGCGGACTCAAGTCCCCCAACCTCAACCCTCGATACATCCCCATCATGTGCTCGTCGTACAGGTGCCCAACGTCCTTGAACGGATTTACCGCGATCAGGATCGACCCTGTGTACGTGTATATGTCATCCTGCGCGTACCGCTGCCGCAAGTTTTCCAAAACGCCTGGCTCGTGCAGATGATTCAGTTTCACCATATCCTCCTGTCCCTGCGTCTCCCGCATGAGCACCCGATCGATCTGCCGCTCGAGCCGCTTCCCACGCATCGTCTCCACCACCGCGACCCCTCTGCTCTCGTCCAACGCCCTGACGACGCCTCGCGCGTGCGTCGCACCTCGATCCAGCTCGTCGTGCTCGGCGTCATCTTCTTCACCGTTCGCGATCGCGCGTTCGATCCACACCTCCGCGCCGACCGCGACCGCGTGCACGACGTCCGTCTCCTTCATCGCCGCCGCTCGCGCGCGCGCGCGGGGCGGTGTGCGGGGCGCTCGCGGTGATTCGCGCGAGATTCCTAAAAGCAACGGCTTTTCAGTCTCGTCTCGTCACACGCCACCGCACCGCACCGGTCGCCGCGCGCGCGCGATGACGTCCACGAGCGCCCCGCGCGGGACGATGGGCGCCCGCAGGTCGCTCACGCGCGCGTACGAACGACACCGGAGACGCGCGCTCGGGGAGACGCACGAGGATTTCGATGCCGAGTCGCTCGGACGTGGGACGTCGCGCTTGCTCGATGCCGCGCTGGGCGGTGGACGGAGCGACGACGCGGTGACGATCGATGTCCCGATGCGAATCGGGGGCGGACCGCGGTGGGTGGAACGGTGCGACGAGGCGTCGAGGAACGTGGAGCGGATTCGGGAAAACTTGCGCGCGCTGCGGGACGCGCACGCCAAGGCGCTGTTACCGAATTTCGAGGACGTCGGCGCCGAGGACGTCGTCGCGGAGTCGTTGACGAAGGAGGTGACAAAACTGTTCAAGCGGTGCGACGTGACGATCCGAGGGGTGAGCGAGACCGGGGAGACGGGGGACGAAAAGGTGGTGACGAATGCGCAGAGAAAGTTGGCTATGGAGCTGCAAAGTCTATCGCAGGAGTTTAGGAAGATGCAGAAGGAGTACCTGGCGAAGCTCAAGTCACAGCAAGACCGTGGGCCCGGGGCGGCGGGCTTGGATTCGTACGCGCAGTTTAGCGGCGGCGTGGGCACGAGCGAAAGTGCGCGAGGTGGCGGCGGAGACTTGATGCGCATGGAGATGCTCAATCGCGCGGAGACGACGAGCATCGAACGCGATCGAGAGGTGATGAAAATATTAGAGTCCGTACGAGATCTCGGCGGGGTGATGAAGGATCTGTCGGCGCTCATTATCGATCAAGGCACGCTCTTGGATCGTATTGACTACAACTGCGAAACAGTCGCGGCGACCGTGGAGGAGGGTCGCAAGGAGTTAGTTCAGGCAGAGAAGTCGCAGAAACAGAGCGTGGCGATCATGTGCATCTACATTCTCTTAGTGATGGTTGTGTTCATGATCTTCGTCGTCATCGGGCTCAAGTCGTAATACATAGGAAGCCGCGTCGGTTGTGATTGACTTGACTTGCGTTTCAACCTATACTAATAACCACACTCACGCGGAGATCATGCTAAAGCTCACGGAGACCCCGATGACGATCCCAGTCACCGCCCCCGCGAGGACCTGCACCGGGGTGTGCCCGATGTGCTCGCGCAGAGGCCTTTCTTGGATTTTACTCAAAAACGCGTCGAACCCCTCGTCGAACAGCGTGTCCGCGAGCGTGCCCTCACCCTCCGACCCATCCGTGTGTAAATTCGCCCCGCCCCGCTCGACGTCTCGCCCCACCCCACCCCCACCCTCTCTCGATCCGTACACGCCCGCGACGAGCGTGTTGATCACCTCCGCCTGTCGTCCCGCGTGTAACCGCACCCCCATCGCGTCGTACATCACCACCGCCGCGAGCCCACAGGCGACCGCGAACGAGGGCGCGTCCAAGCCCGCGCTCACCCCAGTCCCCGACGCGAGCGCGGTGACGAACGCGCTGTGCGAGCTCGGGAACCCACCGGAGCCGACCGCGAGGGACGGTCGCCAGGCGCCACCGGCGACGCGCGCGGTGAGCGGTTTCAGCGCCTGCGCGACGACGAGGGCGACGAGGGCGGCGACGAGGGCGGGGTTCGTCGCGGCGGCGCCCATGTCGGGCGCGCGGCGCGGCGCGAGACCCCGAGGCGCCGCGCGCGGTCGTCGACGCCGTCGATGGAATCGTGTCGTATGTCGTCGAGTCATGACCGGTGCGAGCGAGTGGGTACTCGGACGTACGGGTCGTGACCCGTCGATATTTAAACATCCATCAGGATCGATCGCCCGCGACGCCGCACCGGGCGACGCGCGCGCGGACGACGGCGAGCGATCGCGCGCGCGCGCGATGGATCCGAACGCGAACGATCGCGCGATGGCGCTGCTCACGGGGTACGACGAGGGCGCGAGTGGGGAGAAATCACCGGCGGAACGCGAACGACAGCGTCGGGAGCGATTGGAAAAATTCGCGAAAGCGTTCGCGAGCGAGGACGAGAGCGCGAGCGAGGGCGCGGAGGGGGGCGGTGGGGTCGTCGTGGATGATTGGAGCGATTCGGAGAGCGAACGCGAGGCGTGGCGCGCGATGGAGCGCGGGGAGATGTCTCCGGCGCTCGATCGGGCGACGCGGAGACGGAACGGCCGGGGAGGACGCGAGACGACATCGACAGCGGCTCGATCTCTGACGTACGATGTGCGGGTGGATTATAATAATTTTGCGGAGGCGGAGGCGGCGGTGCGGATGGACGGCGAGCGGGCGCTGAGCGGTGTGGCGTACGCGTATCGCTCGGCGGAGAGCCGAACGTCGACGCTCGAAGACTCGGCGAGAAAACTGGTGAATCGGGTGGAGACCAAGGTGTCGACGTTCGAGCGCGAGGCGGACGATTACGCAGCGAGACGCTTGGAAAAGGCGTTGAACGCGGCGGCGCTGAGCGAGACGCAAGAGGAGGATTTTCGCCGGCGTATTCGACAAACACTGACGAGGCAGTCTCGGGCGTACGAGGATGTCATCGAGGCTTTGGATCGAGAGCTTGTTCAAAGGATCGACGTTGCGCAGAGCGCGCGAGAGAGGATGCAAGACACGTTCGGCGCGGCCTACGTCGAGGCGTACGAGCGTGGCAACGAGGAAGGACACGACGCGACGCTGACAATTTCTAGGAAGCGTAACGGCGCGAACGCCCTCTTCAAACTCGTCGGTGGCACTGTCGTGACGGCTTTCCGGGTCGTCCGTTTGCCGTTGATAGTCGTCAACGGCGTCACGCGAACCGTCTTCGGTACGCGAAAAGAAAGGGTTGCCCGCGAAGTAGAAGATTATCGTGAGTTCCGACTTCAGTCGCCAGACAAAACGGCTGCTCCGGACGCTGCTACGCATCGCGGCGTCGAGGGACCTTTATCTCCGTCGAGGAGATCCGAGAAATCGGACGTCTCGTCGCTCGCAACCACGCGACGATGGCCGCTGGGAGCGACGGCGCAGCGTGTCAACGCTCACAAGCGTTACAGCGTCGCCGGATCGGTTCGCTCCGCCATGACGCGCAAAACTATTTACTCTCAACTCGAGTACGGGCCCGAAGAAGACAACGACGAGAACGAGTTCACGAACGACCCTGGAGTGAATCGGCACCAAAAAATTGTGCGAACACTCACGCGCTTGATTCAGCTCGGTTGTTTTACCGCAGTCGTATCGCTGAGCGTAGGGCCGAGTGACCGAGCGATTCGATCGCGACAAATTGCCTTGAAGATCTGGAAAGACTTTGAGGGGCACGTCTCCAAGGGATGGTCAGCGTTCCTGGTTCGATGGACCGCGATTAGCGCGAAGCTTTCGTCGACTCCGACTCAGCAACAACGTCGGAATCCCACGAAGGTGAAGCGATCTAAGGTGCCGATTCAAGTGCCAGCTTACGTTCCCGACGAGGAAAATAATGAGACACCGATCGCGTCTCCGGTTAAACCTCGTGGCGACGGACCCACCGATCGTGAAGATATACGCGCGTTCGGTCGCGGATAGATTTAGAGAAGGCGACGCCATTTGGTGTAATATGTATAAGTTGCATGGCATGCTTCGCTGGCGCGTTAGGTACAACATCAAGCGAATACACTGTCGAAGATCGCGTGACCTCCTGGAATTTCACATAGTATACAGCCCAGACCCAAGTTGAAGTGCGGCGAAAAGGTGACGACGTGTGCGGTAATGAATGGTGAGGACGCTTAAGGAGCGTCAAGATCATCCGCCCGACGCAATGGGTTGTGGGAATAACGTGCTCATCGAGAAGAACCTCTGGATGCGTTCGCACGCATTTTCTTGCCTCGTTTCTTGGACTGGAATGACGTCGTGGACGCTAGCTCGGGACTCAAAATGTCTTTGTCTGGTACGGCGCCGATGTTCTGAGCCCACGCGTACGGGTCGTCTTGTGAAGAGTCCTCCGAGCCGCGGTTGTTAATGCGGCTGGTGGGAGCGATAATACCTCCCATGGCGCCCAGAGTATGACTGATGTTGGCCGTTCCGAGACTGATATCCATGTCGTACACCGTCCTATGCACTGACACCTCATTCGTTTGCGCGTTCCGCGTGCGAAGTTGCACGACGGGACGAGCGCCGGAGAGCACTTCGTCCACGCTCTCGGCGACGTTGTGCGCCACCCACATGTCTCGTTCGTGCATTTCGATCAGAATTGGAAACGTCGGGGGTCCTTGCCGTTCGAGAATAGATTTTTGACACCCCCGGGCCCTAGCTTCGTCATCGCCCAGCGTCACCGTTTGCACACCGCCGACGAGGTCGGTGAGCGTCGGATTCTTGATCAAGTTCTCGAGCAACTGTCCGTGCGCCGTGCCAATGAGTTGCACGCCGCGCTCGGCGATCGTTCGACACGCCAAGGCTTCGGCTTCGGTGCCGATTTCATCGACGATAATTACCTCTGGCATGTGATTCTCCACGGCTTCGATCATGACTCGATGCTGCTGCGACGGGTCTGGCACTTGCATGCGTCGAGCGCCTCCGATGGCGCGGTGCGGGACGTCGCCGTCACCGCCGATTTCGTTGCTCGTATCGATGATGACGACGCGTTTCTTGAGCCTATCACTGAGTACACGCGCCATCTCGCGGATCACGGTGGTCTTTCCGACCCCGGGTCGGCCGAGAAATAACACACTCTCTCCGCTGGGCAAAATGTCGTCGATCATATCGATGTGCCCCGTCACCGCCCTCCCGACGCGACACGTCATGCCAACGATCCTTCCCCGGCGGTTACGAATGCACGAAACGCGATGTAACGTCCCCTCGATCCCCGCTCGGTTATCCCCACCGAAATCGCCCACAGCGTCGGACGCGGCGATGAGCTCCTCCTCGGTCACTGGCGCCTCGCGAAGGAACACTGAACCGAGTTCACCAAGAAACCGCGCCTCCGGCGCTCGCCCGAGATCGAGAACGATCTCCAAAAGACTCTCACTCTCGGGGTGCTTCTCCACGACGTCTCTCACGTCCTCCGGGAGCACATCTAAAATGGACACCAAGTCGTCGCACTCGCACTCCTCCCGTCTCGCCTCCGCGCCTGCGTCGTTTCGCGAGCGCGTCGCGCGTCGTCAGTCCACCGTAACTCGGGTCATCGCGTCCATCCCGACACCGTTCGCGATCCAACGCAATGGTATCGTCCACCGTTCACCGATTTCCTCCCCACACGGCGCCACACGCGTCCCGAGCGCGAGGCCTCGTACGCAATTTCAAACGTCCCACAGATCCCAACGGTCCCTTTTCAAATATTCCCCACCATCCGCCCCCGCCCTCGACGCCGCCGTCGCCCTCGCGCGTCGACGCGCGCGCGCGAACGCACCACACCACACCATCGCATCGCTCGCACCTCTCACGCCCGCGCGCGCGCGCGCGCCCGTCCCACGCGTCCACGCGCGTCGCGCGAATGTCTCGCGTCGACCGCGCGCCCCCATCATCGGCGTCGGCCGAAGCGACGACGCCATCGCGCGCGTCCACGCCCACGCGGACGTCGACGGTGAAAATCCACCGCCTTCACGCCCGCGCGCGCTCGACCGCGCGAACGTCGCGCGATGGACGACGTCGACGTCAACGTGTGCGGCGACCGACGCGGCGCGAGCGCGATCGCGCGAATCGACACCGGTGCAAAAAGCACATCTCCGTATTCCGCGCCCACGACGTCGATGTGGGAATATTCCCTCGCGCGCGGTGTCGTCGCGCAAAGACCCGCGTGTGGCGACAAAAAAGGTCCGCGTGTGAGACGAAAACCGCCGTGAGACGACCACCGCCGCGGTGGCGGCCGCGTCGGGAGAGCGCGACGACGATGATTCGCGCGATCGCGTCGCCCGCGTCCACGTGCGCGCCGCGCGCGGGAGACACGCGCGCGCGCGCGATGACGCCGCTTCGAACGAGGTGCGTGCCGCGACGGTGACGCGAGAGAGAGGCGCTGGGACGGGGCGACCGCGGGCGTACCCTGGGGACGATCGAGGGTGGGCGAGAGATTGACGCGCGGTGTGACGTTCGACGATGCGTAGGGTCGCGGTGCGAGCGATGGTGGATAAGGCGTCCGTGATGGCGGCGTCGATGAAGGCGAAACCGACGAAGAGCGCGGACGTGAGCGCGACGGGGGCGAACCTCAAGGGATGGACGCCCGCGTCGTGGCGCGAGAGAGAGGCGCTGCAGCAACCGAAGTACGAAGACGCGAACGAGCTCGAGAACGCGCTGAACGAAATCAAGTCGCGTCCGCCGCTCGTTTTTGCGGGGGAGTCTCGTGATTTGCAAGAGAAGCTCGCGAACGCCGCGGCCGGGAACGCGTTCGTTCTCTTTGGTGGCGATTGCGCCGAGAGCTTCAAGGAGTTCAAGGCGGATAACGTTCGAGACACGTACCGCGTGTTGCTGCAAATGGCCGTCGTTTTGATGTACGGCTCCGGTGTACCGGTCGTGAAGCTCGGCCGTATGGCGGGTCAGTTCGCCAAGCCGCGGTCGGAAGACCTCGAGACTATCGATGGTGTCTCTCTGCCGTCGTACAGAGGCGATAACATTAACAGCTGTGAGTTCACGCCGGAGGCTCGCCGCCCGGATCCCGCGCGCTTGGTCAAGGCGTACGATCAATCGTGCGCTACACTCAACCTGCTGCGAGCGTTCAGCGGCGGTGGCTATGCCGCCATGACTCGCGTGAACGACTGGGAGTTGGATTTCACGGAAAACACGGAGAGAGGTCGCCAATATGCCGACCTCGCCAGCCGCGTCGACGCCGCCATCGATTTCATGGCGGCGTGCGGCATCGATGAGAATCACCCGTCGATGCAGGAGACCTCGTTCTTCACCGCGCACGAGGCGCTTCATCTCGGATACGAAGAGGCTCTCACGCGTCTTGACTCGACCACGCGCGAGTACTACGGGTGCTCTGCCCACTTCTTGTGGTGCGGAGAGCGCACTCGTCAGCCCGAGGGCGCGCACATGGAGTACTTCCGAGGTGTCTCGAACCCGATCGGCATCAAGATTTCCGATAAGAGTGACGGGGAGAGCGTTGTTAGCTTGGTGAAGCATCTGAATCCCGACAACGTTCCGGGCCGCATCACCCTCATCTCGCGCATGGGCGCCAAGAAGCTGCGCGAGCACCTTCCGCGTCTCATCACCGCTATCGAGGATGCCGGACTCAATGTGTTGTGGGTAACAGATCCGATGCATGGTAACACGATCAAGACCGACAATGGTTACAAGACGCGCCCGTTTGAGGCCGTACGAGATGAAATTATGGCGTTCTTCGAGGTGCACGAGAAGATGGGTACGCACCCGGGCGGGGTTCACTTAGAGATGACTGGTCAAAACGTCACGGAGTGCACCGGCGGCACCAACAACGTCTCCGTTGCCGACTTGGAGAAGTGCTACCTGACGCACTGCGACCCCCGTTTGAATGCGAGCCAGGCCATCGAGCTCGCGTTCTTGATGGCGGGCGAGTTGCAGGCCATGCGTCGCCGTCGCGCGCAGCAATAGAGAGCTTGCTCAACGACTCGCTCAACGCTCGCTCTAGCTCATTCTTGCCCACCGCATCCCCGCGCGTGACGGATGTAATTCGCACGCGCTTAGATTTCATTGCGCACGTGCTCGACCGCTCGCAATTCCACATCTTGTCGCTCGCGTCGCCGCCGATCGCCCGCTCCAAAGGCGAACGGGCGCCAGCGTCACTGTACGACTTAGGCGCTCTCTTAGCAGTCCGTGCGCGGTGCGATGCCGGCCGCGCGCGCGTTTCTGCGTTCAGTGGTGGTACGTTTTGATCGTGCGCGAACGCGAGAGCGCTAGCACCGACGACGCGCGAGCGACGACGCGCGAAAGATGTTTCTGCATCTGCATCGCTTCGAGCGCTTGAATAACGAATCTCTCGTCTGGCGCACGACGCGCGCGTTCAAACGTGACGCGACGCGCGAGCAGAAGACAAACGTGCGACTGACGACGCCCGGTGCCCGATTCGGGACGACGACGCAGGCATGCGAGCGCACGGGGCGCACAACGAGACGTTCTAGAAAGCCTTCCACGAGCGACGGGCCGATCTCTCTCAGACGCGGAGCGACGACGACGTCGGCGAAAGCGAACAACCAGGAGCGAAATGAGACAAATAATGCGTATCAAACCACCTGGATGTCTCAAAAGCGCCTGGGCGAGCTCAGGAATCGAGCGGTAGAGGCGATGAAGTTCAGTCCTTCGTGGCTGAAACAGATAAAGATGCCGATCGGGACGTCTGCCGGAAGCGTGTTGCCCGTCGTCGGTAGCTTCGAGGAGCTTCTTCGAATCGCGGAGATCGCGCTGTTGAATTCAAAACCCGTGGATGAGATCGAGGCGTTCTTTAAGGGGAAGGAGGAGGTGCGAGTGCTTGAGTTGAGCTCGTGTGAGCAGCGGGCGATTGTCTCGACAGATCATAAACGGCGACTGCACACAGTTTCGCTTCGTGGGACGAAGAACCTTCGAAACGTGGCACAGAACATGCGTATGGGTACGAATCCGATCGGCGATGCGGATGATTTAGCGGTGCCCATGCACAGAGGATATCGCAACATAGCCCGGCGGTGTCTCGATGCCATCGAGCCACTGCTTGTGGCAGGGTACGAGATTCAGTTGACTGGGCATTCTCTTGGTGGCGCCGCCGCCGTGGCGCTCGCACTGCTTATCCACAAGAAAGGGAAAGCCAGGGTGAAGCGTGTCGTGACGTTCGGTGCGCCGAAGCTGGGCCCTAAAGAAACTGCAGATGCGACGGAGGAGTTGGACATCCTTCGAGTGGTGCAAAAGGATGACATCATCCCACTGCTTCCGATGTCTCGACCTTTCGTCCGTCGCCCTTACTGTCACCTGGGTGAAGGCATTCTGATCGATAACGATGACCCTGGTGTTTTTGCAGACTTGCCGCGCGAATGGGGTGCGGCTGGAATCTTGTGGCGTCAGCGAATGTCCTTCACGGATGTGGCGAACTCAGTTCCGCTTGCCTCTTTGGACGCAGACTCAGTGAAAGAGTTCGCGAGACCACTCTCCGCTGCGGCAAAGCGAGTGACGGAAAGGGCCAGGACGTCGTTTCTCGCCCGCTTTAGCATGCCCACCGAGATCGAGCTCGAGGCTGAGGTCAAAGACCTCATAGCAGATGCCATGGATTCCAAGGACTCGTTTCTCTCCATTCAGGAGGAGTTCAACGCGAGCGCTTCGATGGCAGACGATTCCGCCGATGTACGGGAGAGTATCACCACGAGTATCGGACCGACAATTTTTGAGCGTCTATGGGTGCTTCGTCAGTACTCCGCCGATGAAAGGCTTGAGAGACTTAACTCGCACAGGATGCACCGCTACGTTGCGGCGATCCGGGCATCGATCGACAGTAGACCGAGACGAGTGCAGTTGGCGGACATCTACGAAACATCGGACGAGGACGATACACGGAGACGTGGACCGCCGGAACGTCGCCCGTCGATCCCTCAATTATCCCAAGCTATTCTTTCCATTCGGGGCCGATAAAAATCTCGCTCCACGTGTATTCATTTATTCGACTCGTCAAGTCGATATCTTAGCAGTATTTATATTGACATCAGCGCTCTACTTCATCTCTACCTCGGTTTGCGCCAGCGTGAGTTCGTCTTCCTTGAGCACCGTCGTGGTCTTGCAAAACTCGCACGTGATCTCTACCTGGCCATCCTCGGCGAGAATCTTGTCGACCTCCTCCTTGCCCAGGGACGCCACCGCGCGAAGCATTCGCTCGCGCAGATCGTTGGGTTCGCACGGGCCGTACTCTGGCGTCATCCGAGTTACTAATTCGCGGTTCTCCCCGAGTTCACCCAAAACTCTCTGCGCGATCTGCTCCGCGGTCAGCCCCTCTGACACGAGTTCCGTGCTCGACGGCAGGGCCGGAATCGTGCGCTCGAGCGCCTCGATCGTCTCATCGCTCGCAAAGGGCAGGATTTGCACCATGAATCCACCGGCGGCGATAACCTCACACTCACGATTGATCGACACCCCCACCGCGATCGCAGCACCAACTTGTTCGCTCTCGGATAAATACCCAGCGACGTCCTCGGCGATTTCCCCCGTACGAATCGCGACGCTTCCGCTGAACGGCGCCTTCATCGACGGATGCGCCCTGCTCACCGTGAGCACCCCTTTCCCCACCGCCGCACCGACGTTCAATTTTCCATCCGATCTCAACGGCGGATCCGCTTTCGGATTCGTCACCATCCCCTTCGCCTTACCGTCGTGCGTGCTCACCGCCACGAGTCTCCCCAGCGGTCCGTCGCCCGCGAACGTCAACTGCGTCGTCTCGTCCTCCCCCTTGAACGTTCCGAGCAACAGCGCGCACATCAACGACCGTCCCATCGCCGCCGTCGCCGTCGGCGCCGTCTCGTGTCGTCTCGCGCCCTCTCGCACGAGCGACGTGCCCACGACCGCCACGACCGCCACCTCTTGATTCGCCGACATCACTCTGTACACCTCGTCCGCGGCCGTGCTCGCGCGCGTTCGCGCGCTTCCCGCCCCGCGCGCGTGCGACGGCCGCGCGCGCCGACGATTCGCGCGCGAGCGCAGCGCGCGCGCGCACCGCGTCGTCGCGCGCATCGCAATGTGCATCGTGCCGCGGCGCCGCGAAGTGACGTCGACCGCGCGCGTCGGCGGCGTTCGGGCCCGCGCGCGGTCACACGTCGACCCGCGCGCGCGCGGATGACGTCCGCGGACGCGCGCGCGCGGGCGCTGGCGTTCGCGCCGCACGCGAGCGCGCCGGACGGGGGGTTTTGGGCGCGCGTGGCGAAGATGAAACTGAGCGAGACGATGCTGCGTGAATCTGGAATTTCGTGTGCGTGTCGCGTGCGCGCGGCGAACAGGGCGGAGATCTCTGGCGCGCACGCGTTGGATCACGAGAGCTTCGATGGGTTGAACGCGTCGGATGGGGGCGATGGCGGTGGTGGGTGGGTGGCGCGAGGCGACGCGAGACTGTTGAACACGCGAGAGGGCGTGACGACGTTCGACCGAGAGGCGTACCTACGAGAGATCGGGGAAGAGATCTTGAGAGACATCGAGAGTGGCGACGCTGAGCGGGATCCGAGTAGGTTGATGCGGTTCGGTATGATTGCGTACGCGTGCCTGAAGAGTTGGTCGTTTACGTATTGGTTCGCGTTTCCGGCGGCGACGAGCGCTGAGTTTACAATAACGTCGACGAGCGTCGAGAAAATGCGAGCAGAGGACGAGGGAGACGCGATGCGAGCGCAAGCGTGCGATAATTGGATCGCGAGCGGTGGGGCGTTCGCGTGGTTATTGGACGAAGACGGCGCCTCGGCTCGGCCGCTTGCGGATTACTCAAACATCGTCGCGGAGGGGAGAAGACCGACGCTCGCGTTCGCGGATACGTGCGGGTCGGCGACGCATCCTGGATGGGCACTTCGTAATCTAGCGGTTTTAGCGTCGGCGAGTTGGGAAGCGAGCGAGTTGGATGTAGTGTGCGTTCGAACACGAAAAGGCCGCGTCGTCCCGGAGGCGTGCGTTAAGTTCACGATGTTCCTTCCGAAATTCGACAAGGATGCCGTAAAATTCGTTGGTTGGGAGCGCAACACTCGAGGTAAAATGGGTCCGCGCACGGTTGATCTCGGGACGAGCATGGATCCGACGCAGCTTGCATCGCAGGCGGTCGATTTAAACTTGAAGCTCATGCGATGGCGTTTGCTTCCAGAGCTCGACCAGGACAAGCTCGCATCGACGAAGTGCTTGCTCATCGGAGCAGGGACGCTCGGATGTGCTGTAGCGCGCACGCTCATGGGTTGGGGCGTGCGACACATCACGTTACTTGACTCAGGTCGTGTGTCCTATTCCAATCCCGTGCGTCAGACGCTCTTCGAGTTCAAGGACTGTTTCGACGGAGGGGCGCCGAAAGCGGAAGCAGCGGCAAATAAGCTCGCAGATATTTTCCCAGGGGTCAATTCTAGAGGTATTACGATGAGCATCCCAATGCCAGGGCACAGCGTCAGTAACGATCTCAAGGAAAGTGTGTTCAGGGACATCGATGCTCTCGAGACGTTGATCGATGAGCATGACGCGGTGTACGTGCTAACGGACACCAGAGAGTCTCGGTGGCTTCCGACGGTAATCTGTGCGAGCAAGGACAAGCTTTGCATCAATACCGCTCTTGGATTCAACACATACGTCGTGATGCGACACGGGTGTGGTGTTGATGCAGACTCGGATGAATCGAGGCTCGGATGTTACTTTTGCAACGATGTCATGGCGCCGGCGAACAGCACACGAGATCGAACGCTCGATCAGCAGTGCACGGTCACCCGTCCAGGGCTCGCTCCGATCGCGAGTGCGCTCGCGGTCGAGCTCATGGTAGCCTTGCTTCACACAAAGGATGGATCGAAGACGGCGCCGCCGACGCGCAATGCCGACGACTCTGAGCCATCTCCGCTGGGCGTCGTTCCGCACCAAATCAGAGGATCGGTCGCCGGCTTCACGCAGACCATGTTCGACGCCCCCGCATTTCCTCGGTGCACCGCGTGCTCGCGCGCGATCGTCAATAGGTACCGAGCCGATCGCGAAGGATTCCTCATCAGCGTCTTCGACGATCCCAAGACGCTCGAGGACGCAACCGGTCTCACCGAACTCCTCGGTGCCGTCGATGCCGACGACGCCGAATGGCTGGACGACGACGATGATTTCTAGGTCGTCTTCCGCGATGCGATGTAATCTTTACCCTTTCCGCTTCGAACTCACTCACTTTTGGGCCAAATGTTTTGGCAGGGGAACAAACAAAAAATGTCGATTCGGCTTCTACCTCGCTGCACTCCCCCGCGTTCGCGCGCCACATCCCTCACCGCGCGCGACGATGGCGAACGGGAAGATGACGCCAATTGGGACGCAAATGCCCTCGGGCAGAGCGGACGAGTGCGTGTCCGAGCGCGCCAAACACCGAGCCGGGGGACTCAAAGCGACTTTGCGCCCGGTCGATCAGTTCACGCGCCGCTCCACGCCGTCGCCGACGACGACGGCGGAAGGAACGCGAACGTCGCCTATCGAGCACGCGTCGCGAGCTGCTCGAGCGGCGGGGGCGGCACATGCGTACCGAACGTTCGCGTCGAGTGGTTTGACTAGCGCGGCGACACCGACGCGGCGCGGACGCGAACGCGACGCGCCGACGTCGACGCCGATGTCGGCAAGCGTCAAAATGCTGGTAAGTGAAGCGATGACGTCGTTAAAGAAGGCGCGGTCGAGGGTGGAGGATTTGGTTCGAAGTCATCGTGGGGTTGGATTGAACTTTGAAGACGTGGCGCCAGCTTCGCCAACCATGAACGTCGCGGCATCGCCGTCGACGAGTGAGACGACGGCGGTGCGCGAAGATAGGGAGGCTGAACGAGAGGCAACGGAAATGTTGATCAGGTCAGCGAAGAAATCTATCGCGAAGAAGAGTGCACCGGTGTCACGTTCTCCAATGCGGTCGCCTTTGCCGTTACGCATGGAACGCTTTGATCCGAGCGCCCCAGTCGTCGTGTTGGCGGATTCCAAGGCGACGGAGAGTACGATGGTCCAAGGAAATGGTGAACGCGCCAACGGAGACGGAGTTTACGACGATGAGGTGACGTCGCAGTTGTCTCTGCCTCCAGGCTTTGACGCTAGCGAATTTTTAGAGGATGTCGCGCGGGACGAGCATGTCGTCGAGCCTTCGGAGACAGACGTCGAGAAAACTGATGAAGAAAACTCTGACAACAACATCGACAAGGTGATGGATCAACTGGACGTGTTCGCGAAGATGATGGCCAAGGTGGTCGCGAATACGCTGGACGAAATAAGCGCAAATATTGCGAGCAAGCCGGTGACGATTCCTTCGCCGAAAGCGAATAGGGTACCCACGTCGCCGAGACGAAGTTCGAGGCGTAGATCTGTCGCCGGCGAACCCGTGACGACACCGTCGCTCCGATCGAGTCACTCTGCAGCTCCCACAACGCCGTCGCGTCGATCAAAACGCCTGGCGTCGAAGGGCAAGGAGCGCACGTGAACTTAGGTCGCGCTGCGAAAACAATGTACGTAAACTGTAATAATTATAAATCGCCCTACCCGCTTGAGCACAACTGCTCCTCGAGTAATTCGTCCTCGCTCACGGTCTGAATGACGACCCCTTCGCCCTCCGGTTTTGCGCAGCACAGCAACGCGTAGCCCTTCTCCTCCACGTCGTCGCTCAGCATCGATCCCGACTGATCCACCGCTCCGCTGAGGACCTTTGCCGGGCACATCATGCACACGCCCATCTTACAATCGTACCGCAGGTCCAGACCCGCGTCGAGCGCGACGTCGAGGATGTTATCGTCGTCACCGACCTCCACCGTGACCGTCTGCCCCTCGTGGCGAATCTCCACGCTCACTGCCTCCACGCGCACGGTGGATCTTCCGCGGTTCGCACGCTTCACGGAACAAGACGCACGGCGCACTTTGGCATCGCTCATCGCGAACACCGACGCGCGCGCAGAGAGAGAGATCGGCATCGCTCGACGTAAAAGATTCTTGTGGATAAAGTCTGTTTAGCCGTAGCGTTCAGTGCTCGTTCCTGCGATCGACTCGCACGACGGTCGAGATTTAGAGTGGTATTAAGCGTTTCGCTATGCTTCTGAGAGGGGAACTCGAGCGGTGGGCGCGAGTGTGCGGTGGGCGCGTGGTGAAGTGAGGGTTGGATTGGAAACGCGAGCGGAACGGCGACGAAATCATTGACCGTACGTGCGAGCACCCTGGGCGAGGTACGAGCGCTCCTCCATAGTGTCCTCTCTACCGAGCACGCTGTTTCGGTGCGGGTATCTTCCAAACCGCTTGATCGTGGCGAAGTGTTGCACCGCGTGGTCATCGTACGCACCGGCGGGATCGACGCCGTCGATGAAGTCTTCATCGAAGCCACGAATGCGAAGCAGCGCGACGTGATCCGCGACGTCTTCGCTGTGCATAAGTGGCATCTCGACAAACATGCGCTCGAGCACGGACGCTTCGCGCATGAAACTATCGTCCCGCAGCGCCGCCCGGGCGAGCGCCGCCGCCGCAGCGTCGTCCCCGAACGCCCGCGCTGTCTTTCGATGAATCACTCGCGTGAACTGATCGAGCGTGATTATATCGGAGATAACCTGTTCGAGACCAATCGCGCGGACATCGACATCGCGAGAGGACGACGCGTAATGCTCGGATGTGGCTCTGTGATGCTCTGCGAACGAAGAAATTATCGTCGAGTCGTCCTCAGGCTTGGATCCAAACCACAGGGACATTTGCGCCTTGGTTGGTTTCGTCAGCACGCTCACGTCACTTCGAGCGGCGCCGAACCAGAAGCGATTGATAACCGCGGCGGGGAGGCGGGACATCTCTCGAGCGCGAGTGTGAAGCAACAGTTGGGTCAGTTGGGTGGTTGAGCCATGGAACAACCATTGTGTGCGTTGCAATAGTGGCCTAGGCGCGGCGTATTAGTGTTCTAAGAATCCGTGAGAGTTTTGACGTTTGGCCTTGTTTGCGGGCGACGAGGTGTCGGTGCGCCTCGTTAGGGCACGAATGCCATCCACGAGCGCGTGCTCGATGCGCATTGTGTAGCGAATGGCTTCTATGTGCGGCCACGTGGATTGCTCGCCTCGCGAGATGTATCGTTGCATGTCCATCTCCGTCGGGTGAAGAAGAATCTTTGAATAATCGGTCCACGTCAGCGAGGGTAGGATCGTTATGTGACCTCGGAAATCTTGCATGAGCACACCCTGAAGCGTGCGTACGAATCGAATGTCGAGCAAGTCCACCTCAAGAAGCTTCTGAATCGAATACTTGATGTTTAACAGCAGGAAATTGGCGACGCGCAGTAGCTTTTGGACGGCATTGCGTCGTTGGTAGCTCCGCGCGCTCTTTTGCTTGCGCCCGTGAGACTCCTCGGCCAAATGCAACACAAAGTTCAAGTGTGGGTTCACCTGAGATACGATGAAGTTGTTGCAGTTGAACAGCTCCGTCATGCGAGCCGAGGGAATGTCCTGCGTGATCGTCCCATCGTAGCTTTTCACATCGGGTGGATGAAAAGGAATCAGATTTCCATTCTTATCCTTGGCGAGGATCTCGACCGGGCGCATGAGACCGGGAAGCGCGCACGACGCACAAACCGCCGTGCGAATGAGCACGTTGGGCGATGTCAAGTGGTTCAAGACGTAGCCAGTCTGTGATCCAATCGAAACCTGGATCGAAACTGCCAATCCAGAAATCGCAAATCCTTCTTCGAACGTCGTATCACCAAAATACGCCTTTGTCGTCTTTGAAAATCCAGCCTCGTCCATAAGTACGCCGTGCTTCAAAAAGTGCAACGCCATTTTTATTGGAAGAGGAAACCAGCGACGACCAAAGCGAGTGGAAACGTCCGGTCGAATGCTCGTGACGATATCCTTGGGCGAGTGGCAAGCCAGAAACGCCGCAACAATGGACCCACCACTCGTGCCGGAGATAACCTGCGGACACAGACCTTGTCGAAGCAACGTGAGCAAAACGCCAAAATGATACATCGCCAGAGCACCGCCGCCTGATAAACACAGCGCCGTTCTCCCGAGCGAACGATACGACTCTCGCAGAACCTTGAGCATCTCTCGCGCGGTTTCCTCATCGTCGGTGGTTGACATGTATTCAATTGCCGCTACGATTTCGTCGTTAAAGGCTTGCACGAGCACCTTCGTGCCGACGCGCGCAGAGCGCAAATGAAGCAAGCGGTCGATTCCCGCAAAGTTTCTGTGCAACACCGTTCGCAAACACAGACCGAGGGACGTGATATCGCCGCGCTCACGCGCTGTCTTCATCGTATTCAGATACACCTTCACCAGAACCTTGTCGTAAGCGTCACTTTTGTCATCCAGCTTCCAAGCGGATCCGCCCTCGCCGACTTCAGCGGGAAACGCGTCGAGCTTGTTCGCGATGGTGCGCCACGCTTCGTACGTCTCAGTCCGCTCGAGCTCCGCGAGCGTCTCCTGTCGAAGTTTACTGTAATGCGCGTTCGCTCGTCCTTTATGATCGACCCCTCCTGCGCTCTCTCTGACCTTGACGCGCGCGCGATGATACCACGACGGCAACACGTACTTGTTCAGAACGATGGCCAAGTGTACCATCGCCAACAACACAGCGTTCACGCTCAGCAACGCGATCTCGGCGAACATCAACACCAACGCCAACGCGTGCGCCGCCGCGTTCGGAAAAATAGGCGGTGCGAGCGCCAACAACATCGCGGCGAGGATGACCCGTAGCACACGCACGCCAATGGCAGTAGCCACTTCGATCCAAACGTGCGCGAATGCCATTACTAACGCGACGTAAAATGCGATCGCGAACGCCAACAACGCCGTAGCCTTAACGACAATCTTTCGATTCTCCGCCACCCATCCCGCGGAAGCGAGTTCGCCGAACGTCGCTCGCGCGCTCTCCACCGCTTCGCTGAACGACTCCAACCGCCTGCGAAACGCGCGCGCGGTTCCGCTCGCCGCTGGGTCCCCATCGCAGTCACTCTTCTCCTTCGTGGACGCTCGCTGGACGACATCATAACCGGTATCGTCTTCTCCGTCGTCTCCATCGTCGTCGTCGTCGTCGCCCAGAACGACGCTGCGTCGACCGTCATCCATCGAAAAGTCATCCTCGAACACCGAAGCCGCGGACGTGCTCACGATCCCTCGTCTCTGCAGCGACGACGGCGACGCGTTCACGTCGACCGCGAGACTCGGCATACCGCGCGCGCGCGCGCGAACGCGCCCGTCGTCGACTGACGCGCGCGCTACCGTTGCAGCGCTGGTAGGGTTCAGGGTTTAGGCGTGATCCTGAGGCTGCCGACCCAAACATCAGAACGTTTCTGAAGGCCGCTTCTGACGCCACAGGCGCGCGCGTCTCGCTCGTCATGGCGCTCGCCGCGCGCGCACGCGTCCACGCCCCAGCGTGCGCGCGCACGCGGGTCCAGCGACGCGCCGTGACGCAGGGACGAACCCAAAAATGTGTCAAGAGCCCGCTGGGATTATCTGTATCTCGACGTAAACAACGCGACGCCGTCGTGACGCAGAGCTTCTTCGGCGTCGGAGCGCCCGAAGCGTTGGTGATCGGTGTCGTCGCGCTGTTGGTGTTCGGGCCGAAGGGGTTGGCGGACATCGCGAAGCAACTGGGGGCGACGATTCGTGAGTTCCAGCCGACGATCAGGGAGCTGCAAGACGCGTCGAGAGAGTTCCAAGACACTTTGCGGGACGAGATCGAGAAACCGCTGGAAGAGGTGAAGCAAAGCGTGGTGGCGCCACCGCCGCCGAGGAAGCGAGAGGCGCCGGTGGGCGAAGGTTTGAGTGAAGGGGCGAAGAGGGAGGCGAGCGCGTCGGTTTCGTTTAGCGAAGACGCAAACTCGAGCGACTCTTTCAAGAGCGAAAACGGATCGTTCTCTTCGAGCGAAGACTACATCGACAACGACATGAAGGCGCGTGCAGCGGCCGAGGCGTGGGGCGCGAGCGCGGAGCAAGAGGCTTCCGAGGACGCGGCGCGGGCGGCGGAGGAAAAGGAGGAGCAAGAGGTGCTCGCGCTCGAGGCCGAGGCTGATAACCAACTCGAGGAGGGCATGAAGTAACGTCGAACACACAGCTTTTTTAATAACTATCACCCGACACACCCAAACGACGCGCGCGCACGCACTCGCGCATGGTCTCACATCGCGGCTCTCCGCCATCCTCATTTGCCGCCTCTCGCGCGCGGAGTCCGACATAGATTAGGATTAGTACCATGACGAGCTCCCCGAGCACGCCATCGCGCGATGACGCGCACGCGGGCGCACGCGCACACGACGTCGTCACACCCCATCGTGGCTCGCGCGCGTTCGAATCGAGCGACAGCGAAGCGGAATCTTTGGATGACGAAACGCTTAGGCAATTCACCGATGTTTCAATGTTCCACCAAAACACGGGCACGACGGACGATCCCGACGGAACGTCGGACAGCGTCGGGGACTCCTTGAGCGCGATCGATCGGGAAAACGCGTTGTTCGACGTCGTGGTACGAATGCGCACCGGGTTGAGCGACGGGAAGCATCGAAGGAGGTTCACAAAGCATAAGAATTGTTTCACGGGACGGCAGGCGGTGCAGTGGATGGTGTCGTCGCGCACGGTGAGGGACGCAGAGGAGGCGGTGAAACTGGGGAACGATCTCATGGCGGCAAAGCTTATAGTGGGGGTGACGAAGAGCGGGCGGGCGAAGTTTGAGAAGCGTTCGCACTTGTACGCCTATCACTTGGGGGTGGCGCCGGGAATATCCGCGGCAAAGTATTACGTTTCGACCGAGATGATGTCGGTGGAGGCGAAGCTTAAAATGGTGAAGAGAGTAGTCGATGGACATACCTCGATCGTCGAGGCGCTTTCAAGAGAGCACGCGGGGACGATGGAGAACGTCGAGCGGTTGATTGCGACGCTCAAGCTCGAGTTGAGCGTCCTGCGCGCAGCAGTCATCGCGCTCGTCGTGTACTCGCTCATGCCGTTGTTCCACAGGGACGCAGCGGCGATTGCGTCGGTAGCGGGCGTGGGGATGGAGTATCTCAGCACGCTGATCGTCGTGATCGCGGGTGTCGCCGTGGTTGCTTCCAGTCTCTTGAGCATCAGTCACTTTGATCTGTCAATACGAACTATGTTTGAGGCGAAAGAAGGAGCGAAGGAACTCGGAGATGATTTCGATGAAAAGCCGCAAGCTAGGAAAAGGATTTCGCTGAAGGAATTGCCCGATAACTATACAGCTCAGCGCACCCCGTCGACATTCTTGCAAGCTTCTGCACAGACACTTCAGCGTACGGCGTCCAGGCTGATGCACTTGCAGTCGAAGAAGAAATTGCGCCCAGAGGAAAGGGCGGGACCACCGCCTTCGATCCCGCCCGAGTTATGGGTAGACGCGCCGTGCGCGCTGCGTTTCTCCCCAGAGGATGCACACAAGATCGTTCAAGAGGACCAACTTCCCGACAACATGGTGAGGGCGCAGGTACCGTTTGAGATTGACTCAGAGATTTTCAAGGGACGAATGATCGTTTTCATTAAGGGCCTGGATAACACTCCGAAGCACATTTTCGCTGGAAAAGCGCGTACGATTCAACTCGCGATTCAAGGGAAATTCAAACGCGAAGTTGCGATGGATGAGTGCGTCATCGGTCAGGCGCTTACGAAACCACTGATAAATCTCCCATCAAGATGGCTGCTTGCGCTGTGCGTTCGTGTCGTCAGAGGCTACGGTGAGAACTGGGGCATCGATTTGTCTATGCCGACGGACGATAATCCGTACATGCTTGCTCCCATGGCGCTCGCGGCGCAAGCAATGAGTTGCGAATACGAGGGCGATGTGCAAGACATAGAAGGGGCCATAATCGAAAACGTCGACACGAGGGCCGACATTTTCGCCCCTGGCACTACGCCGCGCCAGCGCCAGAAGACGTTGAAGGGTCTCCTGCGAAAGGCCAGGAAAGGTGAGGGTGAGATGCCCAAGTTTGACACGGAACGCGTGTGGACTTTCGGCTTCTGGCAGTCTCAAATCAACTTCTTGACGTACAGAATAGATTTAGGCGTCGGCGTCTTCAATCTGCTGAAAGTGATGAATGGGCAGCCGTTGTGCTTTTGTTCCTCTCTGCGAAGTGGCGAGATTTTGTTCAGGCTAGAAGTCTGGCATCGCGAACTCCTTGAAGCTGCACGGGTTGCGCATGAGAAAGAAAGGAACAGGCGTTCGAGAACTTCACTCGAGAAGTCGCTCGATTCGTTTGCTTTCTCACAGAGCGCTGAACGAGAGGCTGGTGCATAATTGTAGTCGTGTAATATTTAAAGTTGGCGGCATCTTCATCGAACGGTTTGTGTCGATTGCTGTAGGTAATGTTACAAAGATGTTCAAAGACCACCTGGCGTCTTTACAGATGTCTTCAGATTAACTCTGAGGTGAATCAACGCTCGGATTAACCAGTGCACTTCTTGCCACATAACGTGAAGATGAGTGTAAAGAGGATGGCCAAGACGATGACACCTACGAGCACCTTCATCTTCATGTTTTCGCACCACATCCTTCGTCGAAGCTGTCGACCCGTCTTGTGAAAGTTGTCCGCCTGGAATCGCAGAGCGTCGCTCTTATCCACGAGAATCTCGATCTTTTCCCCTCTGTCGAGCACCTTCTCGATGTTATCCATCATGATCTCCTTCACCTGGCTCACTTGCTGTTGCACCTGACTCACCTTGCTCACCGCCTCTGGGTTCGCCGAGCAAAACTCTAGGTGTTCCTTAAGTCTCGGCGCAAACGATTTGTTAAGTGAGTGCGCGATCGCGTCCTGCGCCTCCGACGCGTGATCCCTCGCAAATTCCGCCTTGATTCGATCCAAGCACGCGAAGGGGACGTGTCGACCCTGTGAGCTATCGGCGACGACGAGGTACGTGAACCCGTTTTCCACGACGTAGTTGAACGTGTGCCCATCCGCAGTGTACGTGAATCGCGTGTTATCCTCCGAGATCTTCTCCAGTGCCTGCGTCGTCGAGCGAAAACATCACTCGTCAGTCCATTTACGCTACCAAACCGCCACGGTCGCCGGTAAACTCTACACACGCCGCATAACCGTCGTTACGAAATCGATCGAAATCGCCCGTTCCCCTGGGAATTCTGACGACGCGTCGCCTTCCCGTCGCGTCGTCGCCGTCGTTGCGACACGCACCTGCGTCGCGATGGTGCTGAAGTTCCCGGAGTATCCGGTGTACTCCGCGAGCACGGTGGTACGTCGAGCGACAAAGGCGTAGATCAGCGGCATGGTGAGATCTACCGAGCGTCGGGCACTGATGCTTTTCTCTCAGGCGGCGGAGTGGTCGTGGAGAAGACGTTTCGCACGAAGAGACGCCGGACGCGGAGACGCTGGACGCGGCGACGCGATATACATTTAGTGCAATGTTCGATGACAATGAGTCGTCGTGAGACTACCGTGTGTTTCTCTTCTTGCTCAAAGCGGACCAGTAGAGATCCTCGTATCGCTTGCTCGGCTCGAACCAGCCCCAGTCACAGGACATCGCGCGGTCGACGAGGGCGAGGGACTCCCAGCGTTCGCGATCGTAGAAGGCGTCGAGAGCGCGAATGACGGCGGAATCGATGTCTCGAGTCTCCGTGCCGTCGAAGACGAAGCCATTCGGCGGGATGCCCGCCGTGGCGCAGCGCGTGCTGTCGTTTTCGACGTCGAAGACGGTGTCAGCCAAGCCTCCAGTTCGACGAACTACCGGAACGGTCCCGTAGCGCATGGCGATCATCTGTGTCAGACCGCACGGCTCAAACATTGACGGGACGAGGAGGAAATCGCAACCGGCGTAAATCAAGTGCGAGAGCGGCTCGTCGTATTTGAACATGAAGCCGCTTCGACCAGGATACTTTTCCTTCATCTCCTTGGCGAGCGAGTTGAAATCGTGCTGGTGCGCTGGATCGGGCGCATTTCCGAGCAAGACGAAGGTAGCTCCCCGCTCCAAAACGCGGTAACACGCGTGTTTGATGAGATGGATACCTTTTTGAGCGGTAAGGCGTGAGACAACGCCAACAATAGGGGATCCTTCCGGATGCTCCAGACCGAGACGGTTGCAGAGTTCGGCAGCGGCGGCGCGTTTACCGTCGATAGCGTTGGATCTGTTGTAGCCGACGGGCAGAAACTTGTCGTTGGCAGGATTCCAAATATCCGTGTCGATTCCGTTCCGAATCCCGATAAACTTGTCTTTTGAGGGAGCGATGGCGTGATGAAAGCGTACTTCGTCTGCGTACGTCGGACTCACGGTCGTGGCAATGTCACAGGACTCCATTCCTCGACGTATACGATCGACACCAAACTGCAAATTATGAACCGTGAGTGCGGTCGCAGCGTTCGGGTAACCAGCCCAAGTCGCCGCCGCGGTTTGCCAGTCGTGCGTGTGGATCACGTCCACTTCCTGTTGCTTGCTTCGCAACCAAGTAAGCGTCGCGTCGGTGAAGAAATCAAAACGTACGTGATCGTCTCCACGCCCATAGATGCACCCGACATCGAAAAAACCATTTTCAGGTCGCAGAAGAGTCACTGGGACGTCTTCAACCCATCCCTTGTACACCTGGACGACAGTTTTTTCATGTTTGAACTCTCCTGCGCGGTGATATCCGTCAACATTTTCAAACTGTGCGATGTCGTAATGAGGGACAAAAACTTCGACCTGGTGCCCGTCTTCTTGGGTTGCCCGGGCCAGTGCTGTTACGACGTCACCCATACCACCAACCTTTGCGATCGGGGCCATTTCAACTGCGACGTGGACGACTTTCAGGATGGGCGCTGGTCCCGAGCCGTTGACAATGACGGTGTGATAGTCCATGCCGTTGTTGTCATCCACTTGAGACACCTCGGATGGGACATCTGAGTCCATAAACTTCAAGTCAAGCACGTGTGCGTCTTGTGGGGCCTTCACAGTTAGCTGCATGCAACCCAACGAATCGCTAAACTGCATGATTGACGGACCAAAAGAGTTTTCATGGTTCCAACGGTTCCAGGAGCCTTGACAGTGAACCTTTTGCGAGTTCGCCAGAGCGCTACCTTCGACTCTATAATAAATCGTGACATTCTCCCCGGCCTCCGGCTGGTGCGGAATCGTATGCACACGATTCAGCGAGCCATCTCTGGTCTTAGCAAGGAGCGATCGGGAGCGGCGACGTTCATGACTCTCCGCTCTTTCTCCCGCTCTCTGAGCGCACTTTTCGATAAAATCACGTTTGCTCGCTAAATCAGTCTCAATTTGCTCCACGATCAGATCTTCGTGTGATCGTTGTTGGTCTTGCTCCACCGCACACTGATAGTCTTTCCTTGAATTGTTGTCGTAAACATCATTCGCATCGCTGAAAACGAAATCTATCGAACTTGCTCCTTCGTGGACGTCGAACTCACCCACTACCCAGTCACCTTGATCGCGAACACGGTGATCCACATTTCGCTCCTTCGCATCCACGGCCAGCGGAATCATGCCAATTTTCTTAGGTACTCCAAGTGTCCACCCGTCGAACCCCACGTGAATGAACACTTGGCCGTCACGTGACATCTTAGACAATGTGTGTCGATTGTATATGATGCGCGCACGTTGTGATGACTTGACGTCCCCGATAAAATAGTACACTCCGTCCTTTGTTTTCGTCATCTGATCGGTCACGATAGTCTTCTTTTTTCTCTCCCGTTCATCCACAAATCTTATAGCCTCGCCCTTAATGGCCTCTTCCAGTTGACGTCGGACGCGCTCTCGTACCTTGTCTCCATGAGCAGTGACGGCGCTATCCGAAACGACAACAGCCGGTACCTCTGTAGAGACGCCCTCAATCTGCGGAACCGAACTCGATGCGGCCGTTTGAGTCGCCTGGCGTTCCATCGCGACCAGTTTCTGCAGCGCATCATCGCGCTCTTCGATGAGTTTCTGAATTCGCTCTTCGTTGAAAACTCGTGACTCGCTTGAATCTGCCAGCTCGCTCAGCGCCGCGTCTCGTTCTTGAATAAGCTTCTGAATGCGGTCCGTTTCCGAAGCTGCTACCGCATCGGATGAAGAAAGCTCTGCTAACGCTGCACCTCTTTCTTTCGACAGATCGACAAGTTGTTCTTCGAGCGCTCGCGTAGTCAGCGTAGAGGCTTCCAAAAGTTCTCGAAGCGTATTTATCTCTTCCTTCTGCGCCGCAACGAGCTGTTCGAACAGCTGGATGTCGCTCTGCTCCGTGCCCGATCCCTGATTGACTTCACTGCGGAGATTCTGTTGTTCGATGGCCGCGACTTCCAACTCCCTCTTAGCTGTCACTAACAGCTCTAAGAGCTTCTTTGACTCTTCTACCGCGGAATCACGACCGAGCACCGCTGCGTCACGCTTGTGAGTCATATCGTTCAGATGGAGCTTTGTCTCATTGAGTTCGGCTTCCAAGCTTTCCATCGCCGCCTTTACGGTATCAAGTTTGCCCTCAAGCTTCAACACGACTCCGTTGGATTCGTTATTTTGCTCCTCCTTCGTCTTCTCCAGTTCAGCCCGCAAGCGCTCAACCTCTTTTCCTGCGACTTCATTGGCTTGTAGCAACTGCTCGCTCATATCTGCGAGTTTGATTCCAGCTTCATCGGCTACTTTCGACGCGGCATTGAGCTCGATCTGAAGACTTGTAATTTCTTTCTCACCCGCCTCGATCACATCATCAAGTTGCTCGCGCATGACATCGATAGTGCTTGCGGCTTCTTCCGCTTTCCGTTTGGCCGCGTTGAGCTGAATCTGCAGCAATTCGACTTCCTGTTCAGCCACCTCTCGAGCTTGCGACAACTGCTCGCGCGTCTCAGCGAGTTTCGCGCCCACATCGTCGGCGTTCGCCTCGCTCTTTTCGAGTGCGAGCTCGAGCCGCGCGATCTCTGCAGTCGCGCAATCAAAATCAGATTGGAGCCGCGAGTTGTCTTCCGCTGACGAAGCGAGTGCGCTCATCGCTTCCTTAGCTTTCTCGAGCTCAGCCTGTAGACGTTCGACGTCCTGTTCAGCCACCTCTCGAGCTTGCGACAACTGCTCGCGCGTCTCAGCGAGTTTCGCGCCCACATCGTCGGCGTTCGCCTCGCTCTTTTCGATTGCGAGCTCGAGCCGCGCGATCTCTGCAGTCGCGCAATCAAAATCAGATTGGAGCCGCGAGTTGTCTTCCGCTGACGAAGCGAGTGCGCTCATCGCTTCCTTAGCTTTCTCGAGCTCAGCCTGTAGACGTTCGACGTCCTGTTCAGCCACCTCTCGAGCTTGCGACAACTGCTCGCGCGTCTCAGCGAGTTTCGCGCCCACATCGTCGGCGTTCGCCTCGCTCTTTTCGAGTGCGAGCTCGAGCCGCGCGATCTCTGCAGTCGCGCAATCAAAATCAGATTGGAGCCGCGAGTTGTCTTCCGCTGACGAAGCGAGTGCGCTCATCGCTTCCTTAGCTTTCTCGAGCTCAGCCTGTAGACGTTCGACGTCCTGTTCAGCCACCTCTCGAGCTTGCGACAATTGCTCGCGCGTCTCAGCGAGTTTCGCGCCCACATCGTCGGCGTTCGCCTCGCTCTTTTCGAGTGCGAGCTCGAGCCGCGCGATCTCTGCAGTCGCGCAATCAAAATCAGATTGGAGCCGCGAGTTGTCTTCCGCTGACGAAGCGAGTGCGCTCATCGCTTCCTTAGCTTTCTCGAGCTCAGCCTGTAGACGTTCGACGTCCTGTTCAGCCACCTCTCGAGCTTGCGACAACTGCTCGCGCGTCTCAGCGAGTTTCGCGCCCACATCGTCGGCGTTCGCCTCGCTCTTTTCGAGTGCGAGCTCGAGCCGCGCGATCTCTGCAGTCGCGCAATCAAAATCAGATTGGAGCCGCGAGTTGTCTTCCGCTGACGAAGCGAGAGCGCTCATCTCTTCCTTAGCTTTCTCGAGCTCAGCCTGTAGACGTTCGACGTCCTGTTCAGCCACCTCTCGAGCTTGCGACAACTGCTCGCGCGTCTCAGCGAGTTTCGCGCCCACATCGTCGGCGTTCGCCTCGCTCTTTTCGAGCGCCGCGGTGAGTCGTTCGACCTCCGTCTCCGCGACTTCAAGGGCTCGCGTCAACCGCTCGCGCGACTCCGCGGCACCGATCTCAATCTGCCCCGTCCGCGCGGTCGCGCTATCCAGCTCCACCGTGAGACGTTCAAACTCCTTCGTCGCGGCGTCGAGCTCGATTCTGAGCGTCTCCGCCACCGCGCTCGCGCGCGCCGCGTCCTCCGCGTCTCTCTCGCGCTCCTCCCGCGTCGCCGCGAGCTCGATCTGCAAACTCCTCAACTCCTCCCGCAACAGCGCCTCGCGCGCGTCATCCGCGTCCTCGATCGCCAACGCATCATCCATCGCGGCGTCATCGTCGTCCACCACCGTCTCCGCGCGCGCCATCGCGCGCTCGCGCATCGTTCGCACGCGCTCGCGCGTCCCGTCCACGCGATCCGTCTCTTGCCCCGACGCCGCCGCGCGCCCGTCGCGCGCGCGCGTTCGTCGCCAGCGCCGAGACGCGTCCGTCGTCCGCGCGCGCGCGGCCGTCGCCCGCGCCATCGTCGCGCACGCGCGCGGCATCGGTCGACGCGCGTCGCGCGATCGCGTCGACCGGTGGTCGGACGTCCACCGGTCGGCGTCGCCTTTGGAATGTAACTCGACCGGTCGATCGACCGGTGTCGAGACGCCTTTCACGCGGTCGGCGCGCGATCGACGGAAGAGGCGTCGGACGCGCGCGCGCGTCGCCATGGGGGCGTCGCGGCGTCGAAAGCCGCGCCGAGGGGGGGCGCGCGACGGCGACGCGGGCGCGGGCGCGGGCGCGGGCGCGGGCGCGGGCGCGAGGGGCGACGGCGCGGCGCGGGACGGCGCGAATGACGGGACGGCGGCGACGGCGACGGCGACGGCGACGGACGACGGCGGCGGCGACGAGCGCGCGCGCGCGCGGGCGATCTGGCGCGAGGTCGTGGTCGAGGTCATGGCGCGGGACGACCGTGGCCGAGGGGCGAGAGACGCGACGACGGTGGTGGAGACGTTGCGACGCGACGGCGCGTCGGGCGGGCGGGACGGGTGGGACGAGGAACGCGCGCGGACGATCACGCTCGGCTACGGCGAGCTCGAGCGGGAAGTTTTGGAGACGCTGAAGGATTTGTTGAATCGGGGGGTGGTGGAGTGCGTCGATGATTCGTTACCGGTGGGTCAGCGACCGCGGTTGGCGTTTCGGAAGCGGTACAAGTTGGCGAAGGGCGTCGCGGAGGCCATGCGGGCGATGACGGGGGCGGGAGCGTCGACGAGCGATGTGGAGATTGTAGATGAGAGTAGCGATGATGCGTCGGCGAGCGACGAGGACGGTTCGTCGAGCGCGAGCGATGATGAGGAAGATGATGATGACCATCACGATTTCGACGATTCGTTCGATGAGATCACGGATGACGACGAGAATCATAACTTTTCCTTCAATTTGGAAGAGCACGAACAGAGTGACAGTGATGAACACACATATGGCACGATGGACACGCTTCACGACCAGGTGGTCGACTTTGTGAAGAAGAATCAAATGTCGGATCACGAGGTTGGGAGGAGGAAACACGTGTTCGACGCGATTGAACGCGCGATCGCTCGACAGTATCTCAATCACAAGGACTGCTCGTTGCACGTGTTCGGGAGCGGGGCCACGGGCTTGGCGCTCGCGGGGGCGGATTTAGATTTAGTGTTGCTAGGTGTTGGGCCGCAGTCACGCAAGGGCGGCGGTGGGGGGTTCACGAGAAGCGAGCGTGAGGAAATCGTACAACATTTAAGAAAGATGGCGCGGTACTTACGGCAGGTGAACGCCGTGTCGCGAGCTGAGGTCATCGCCACAGCGAAGGTGCCGATCGTCAAGATGAAGAGCGCGTCTCCACCGTACATCGCCGTCGATCTGTCGTTGGGAACAACGAACGGTTTGGAAGCGGTGTACTGGATTCGCGAACAAGTCGAGACGTTCGCGGCCCTCAAACCGTTAGTTTTCTATCTCAAGCGTCTGCTAGCGACACACCACCTAAACGACGCCTCCACCGGTGGGTGCGGAGGGTACCTCCTTGTTTCACTCGTCGTGTCTCACCTAAAGCAGACGGGCTCCGTAGGGGCGGTGAATAGACCTGGCATGCTCGGAGATCTCCTTCTCGGGTTTCTTCGACGATTCGGTAGCGTCTTCGATTACAAAACGAATGCGGTCGCGGCCGGGCGAGAGTCCGGAGTGATGTCCTGCGCCGATCTCCCTGGACCACCATTCGGCACGAGGCCTTATATTATGGCGGAAGATCCACAAGAACGATTCCGTTGCTTCACAGCTGCCGCGTATCGCTTTAGAGAGGTGCAGAACTTGTTTCGTCTCGCCGCGGAGCACATGACGGTGTCGGGCGAGCTATCGCTTCTGAGCGACGTTGCCGCACCGGCGCCGCGCGCTACCGGATCGTTCTTTAAGGGTGGCCAAGTTATCAAGGTGCGAAAGGGATCGAACGCGACGTCCCACAAGTCAGGAGCGTCGGGATCAACGAAGACGAAACCGGGCGGAATGAGTCACCTCTTCCGCAAGGCTAACGCAAAGAGCAGTTTCGCTGAGAACAAAGCAGACTGGACCGATGGTGGCGGGGGTAATCGTAAGCGCCCTCGCGCCGCCACGGCGTGGTCGTCCGACGGACATAAAGGCCATGGCGGCCACTCAAACGCACCCGCCAAGCGCCGCCGACTTCCCGGCAAACCCGGCGCCGGTGCCAAACCAGGCGCCAAAAAACCACCCCGAGCCGCCCGCGCCAAGTCTCCCACCGCGAAGAAGAAGAACAAACCGGGCGCCAAGAAGCGTTCGCGCTAGACTCTCTCATCGCATTGTTGTACCAGCCATTCTTTCCAATCGTCTTTGCTCGTCGTCGCTCGCGTCCAATTCCAACCAACTTCCAGCGCTATCCACTCCCGGCGGCGCGTGACGTCGTCACCTGTCGACGCGTCGACGTCACCCACCGCGCTTCGACGCGAACGATTCGAGAAGGATGACGCGAGGCACGACGTGCGCCCACGCGCGCGCCGCCATCGCGCGCGCGTCTCAACGCGCGGCGAAGAACGCGCGGCGACCATCGACGTCACCAAAAGCATCGTCGTCGCTCTCCCGTGCGCGACGGGCGACGACGACGCGGGCGACGAGCGCGAGTGCGCTCGCGGACGTCCTGCGACAGCTCGACGTCGACGGATTGTACGGCGCGGCGGCGACGGGCGCGAGTGAGTTGATGCGGACGCTGGAGACGCTGGCGGGCGACGCGGCGGCGCGCGCGAGCGCGACGACGGGAGACGTGGCGATCGAGGACTTGACGCGAGCGCTCGGGATTGAGAAAGATACGATAACGGTAGAGGTGTATCAAGCGCTCGCGCTCGGGTTCGCGGGGGCGCTGGCGATGGTAAACAGCGGTGAGGAGGAGGCGCGCGCGGGCCCAGCGAGTGGAGACGTCTTGCCGACGACGTACGACGTGGAAAAGATTCGGGCGTACTGGAGTAAGCGACCTTTGGCGATCGCAAAGCGCTCGTTGAGCTTGCTGCTCGATGTTGCGGGTTGGGTTAGCGCTTTGTTGGTGGATATTCAGACGAAGAGTGTGGAGAAGAACTCCGTCGAACGTGCCGGTCAACTGAAGGACATCATCGCCAAGCAAGGCCCAGCGTTCGTGAAGGTTGGTCAGGCTGTCGCGATCAGACCGGATCTGCTCCCACCGGCGTACCTCGCGGAGCTGCAAACTTTGCTTGATGGCGTCAAGGCGTTCTCGAACGACGAGGCGAAGGCGCTCATCAGAGAGCAACTCGGCAAGCCGCTTGATGACATTTTCGAGGATGTGTCGGCGTTCGATAAACCTGTTGCGGCCGCGTCAATCGGCCAAGTTTATAGGGCTCAACTGAAGCGAACGAAGATGATGGAAGCGGAACAAGATACATGGGGTGCGGAAGTTGCCGTCAAGGTTCAGCGGCCGCAGATTCTCGACGTGGTCACCTTGGACTTGCTCGTCATCAGAACGGTTCTTCAGTATTTGGCCAAGTTACCAAAAGACGGACCGTTGGGGCAGATTCAGCAAGGTGCCGAGGGTTTCCTTCCAGTCCTGGACGTTGCCGCGGAGAGATTCCTGGAAGAGTTGGATTTCGGCATGGAAGCCTCGAACGCGTCTCGGTTCGAAGCCGATATGAACAGCGTTGCGTTTGTTCGCGGAAGCATCAAGGTTCCGCACGTGTATAGGAGCGTGAGCACGCGTAAGGTCCTCACGCAGGAGTGGGTAACTGGTCGTAAGCTCACTGAGATTGACGAAAACACTAGCAAGGAAACGCGTGAAAAGCTCGTCGAGACGCTTCTAAATGCTTACATGGTGCAATTTTTAGAAAGTGGGTTCCTTCACGCGGATCCACACCCAGGGAACTTTTTGCTACAAGATGATGGAAAGCTGTGCATTCTGGACTACGGCATGATGACCACCATTAGCGAAGAGCAGCGCATTGCTTTCGTGGAGTACATCGCGCACCTGAGCGCGAAGGAGTACGACAAAACGTTGGCTGATCTAGTCAACCTCGGATTCGTACCACCGGAGCTCGCTGACGATCCGATTAATCGCTCAATCGTCGTGCCCGTGCTTGCGGAGACTCTCGAGACGCTGTACGGCTCCGGCGGAGGTATCACGACAAAGACTGATGCGCTCAATGCGCAACAAAGTTCTCGCGTCGGCGAATTGAGCGACAAGCTCGAAGCTCTCGGCAAGGAGTACCCACTGCAACTGCCGCCATACTTCGTGCTCATTTTGCGTGCATTCGGGACACTTGAAGGACTTGGTTTGTCGGTGGATTCGAACTACGCCATCGTCGATGAGTGCTTCCCATACATCGCTCGTCGCCTTCTGTCCGACGACTCGCCGCGTATGCGCGACGCACTTCGTTCGTTCGTGTACGGCGGTAGCGACCGCCTGCGTGTGAGCCGCGTAAAGGACATTGCCGGCGGCTTCTCCCGATTCACAAACTCGATGGGCGCGACCGAAGCGGTGGCGACGACGGATCCCACTCGGCTCGACCCCGCAACGAAGGATGCACTCGCGATCATCTTCAATGAGAAGGGCAACTACTTGCAAGATCTCGTCGTGGAAGAGGCAGTCCGCGCAGCGGATGCAGTCAGCCGTTCTGGCGCCGCGACTGCATGGCAAGTGCTAGGGCAAGCGTGGCCGCTCGCCGCCGCCGCGTCTGTTACGCCGCTGGCTCTCATACCGGGCTTGAACGGGGCCATCGTCTTATCGGCGCTCGCGTCTCAGAATAAGCAAGCGATCTCACTCACGTTTGAGGACAAGAAAAACCTGGCACTTTTGCGATCCATCGTCGAGCTCATCTCCCCGGAGGGCTGGTCCCAATCTCTAACCAGGGCTGTCAGCTCCAGTCGCGAAGTTAGTTCGCAGATCGAACCGGAATCTATTCGCTCCATAGGAACCGCTGTCGCTCCCGGGTTGCGTCGCATGTCCAGTAACTTTGGTGAAAAGCTTGGGCAGCGCTTGACGGACCGCTCGCGACAAGACTTTGAAAAATCCTTCCCTCGACCAGTCTCACGATGATTCCGAGACGACGTTAGCGTGTAAATGCAAAGCAGATAAACGATAAATGATAACATTATTACTAAAAGCCCGAGCAGTCGATGCCCATCGCTTGCGTCGGCGCCGTGGCGCCGAAGATGCATAGTCCAATTCTGTTCTTCGCATCCGTCTTGTCGTTATTAGCCCACACAGCCGACCCGTACGCCTCCCTCGCCGCCCTCCCCGTGATCGTTCCGTTCGTCAACCCCCTCGCCAGTGGCACCCATTCCGCGAGCTTCCTCGAGTCCACGTTCCCGCCTCGCACCAGGGCCACCACCTTGCTCGTCATCAAGAACGAGCGTCCTTGCTCGCTCTGAGAATATCTAGTCTTGTTACGCCCGTACCAAGCCTTCACGAACGCGTCGTCCACGTCGCTTCCGCGTCCATCCGCCAGACGCTCGCACGCATCCAACACCGCGAGCGTGTCCTCGATGTACTCGGCGCTCGCGAGCGCCGCGCGCGCGTGAAGCGCGATCGGAACCCCGACGATGCCTCCGAGTAATCCTCGTCGCGTCGTCGATTCATCTCCCACGACGCGCGTCGACGCGTTCACCGAACGCGCGCTCGCGGCGACGACGGCGGTGCCCCCGCGCGTCTTTCGAGCGCGATCGACGCTCGAACGGACGACGTAACGCGCGTCGAGAAGCGATGACATGCGCGTTCGCGTCGATAACTGACGCCACGCAGCGCGCCGCGCCTCGGTCGCGCACTTCACGACGCGTCTCGGGTCGACATGTCCACCGCGCGCGCGGCGAGAGAGGTTATGCGACGCGTGGCGTCCACCGCGGGCGCGATCGAGGCCCGATCGGCGCTCGCGGGCGAGGGAATCGACGCGATCGGCGGTGCGAGGACGATCCCGTCGATGATCGCCCGTCAGCAGACGCGCTGGATCGGCTCGCGCGGCGTCCCGGACGAGTACGGGCAGCCGAAAACTGGTGGAACATCGTTTCTGGGAACGCCGAAGAACCACCGGGCGCTGTTGGAGCGCCGACCGCTGTCGCCGGACGTGTTCGACGCGGATGGGAGCTGGCGGGCGCACTACAAGTTTCCCGTCGTCGCGCTGAGCTCAATCACGAATCGCGTCACGGGCGTCGTTCTGAGCGGTGCGGTGAGCTCGGCGGGTGTGATCGCGCTCGTCGGGGGGGCGGAAGCGGTGCCGGCCGTGATCGAGCTGGTAAAGGCGCAGTCGCCGGTGGGCGTCGCGCCGTTGAAGTTTGCGCTGAGCTTTCCGTTCGTGTTTCACACGCTCGGTGGGTTCCGACACTTGGTGTGGGACGCTACAACCAAAGGAATCGATAATGCGAGTGCGAAATCGACCTCCGTGGCGCTCTTCGGGGCGAGCGCGGCGGCGAGCGCGGCTTTGGCGGCTTACACGTGGTGAGGCTCAAGTCAATTTTTCTCGGGACACGTCCTCCTTGTATTGCTACACAAATCTGTCAACTGAAATAAATACATAGCGCGCTCAAAGTTCGAACAGCTCAGGCATCTTTTCCATGAGCGTGTCGACGTCAAGTAAAGAATCAATCGCGACGTCGAACTGCGTGAGGTCCTCGACGCTCGGTTCCTCGCCCCGCGTTTTGATGAAAACCGTCTTCATACCGAGCTCCTTCGCCGTCTTTAAATTCTTCACACTGTCCTCGAACATGACGCAACGCCGCGGATCTACGTCGCCCAAGTGCGCTAAAACCTTCTCGAACGCTTCCTTTTGCGGCTTGCACACCGGCGCGGTGAAGACACCGCCGAAGACTTGCTCAAATACGTCGCTCTGTTCCGGATCGAGCTTCAAACACCGCAAAGCGTTCAATCCCTGCGTCTCGCTCGTGTTCGTGAACACGCACTTCCTGTGGGGCATCTTCCGAATCACACTCTCTAAAACCTCGTCGTAACTCAAAAACTCCTCCACCCCCGAGCGACAATACGCCGTGAACTCATCCTGCGTGCCGACGTCGAAGCCCAAGTCTCTCAATCCCTTCCACGCCTGACTCGCTCGCCCAAACGCCCGCTCGCGCGTCTCGCGCGCTTCCTCTTCACTCATGCCGTACCGTTCCATCAGAAACGTTCGCTGCCTCGACCGCACGCGCTCGAGGTACCCGTTCGCGCCGTCGTAGAGCACTCCGTCCAAATCAAAAACCAAAACATCGATTCGATTCGACGCGCGCGCCCTCGTTCGGCGCGCGCGCGCGGTGACCGAGCGACGCACCGGCGCGCGCGCGAGCGCTTTCGCGACCCGCGCGCGCATGCCGCGACGCGCGCGCGGCGATC